TGGAGAAAAATCTTCACAACGTGGTGGCAGAAGGCTGCAGTGAGCTGAGATGGCACCACTGCACTCCAGCCTGGGGGACAAAGTGAGACCCTGTCTCAAAAAAAAAAAAAAAAAATAAATAACTAAAATAAATAGATACAAAAAATAAATAAAACAATTACAACGTTATGGGTCTGTTCCGCTTCGTTTTTCCTTAATACGTCGAACAATGTGCGAAAAGCAGCTCAACAAGGAAGAAGCATGGAGCCAGATATATAGATATATATGTAGCAACAGCACGATTCTCCACCAGTAGCACAGTTGAGGACGATTTACGGACGCGTGGCGACTCGGCTAGGGATTTTTCTTCAGGGTCAATCTTCTTTGCCTTGAGACTTCCCTATGTTTTTTTTTCTGCGCGAATTTTTTGTTTTTTCCATCCTACGAGGGGGTAAGGAGGGGTGAGCAGGAATATATGTGACCATGAAGCATTATTCCTCTGCACGCGGATGGTGCAAGTGACACGTGCAGACGATAGGCCCACTTCGCCCTCCCAGGAGCTTACATTCATAAGCCCATTTATGTAGTCACTATTTAAATTTTGCGCGCCCAAGTTGTGCAGGTTTAAACTGCGTCTAGCGTGCTTTTCCATGACGACCGCGTTGTCTTCCACAAATATTTCGATGCAATGATATATGTATTCGTAATAATTGAAGATGTTTTTTTTCTCTTCTCTGACTTCTTCCTCTATTTTGTTTTCCTTTGCGTTGTCATCTTCGATCAGTTCGTTCAGTCTGCGCGAGGGAGATGTGTGTATGTATGTGTATCTATGTATATGTTTGTATGTGTATCTATGTATATGTTTGTATGTGTATATATGTATTTGTGTGTGAAGGGGGGTAGAGAGGGCAATCAGGGACGGACGCAGGTAAAGGGGAGATGAATATTACGCAGTAGAGCGGAGTTCACGTGTTTTTTAAAATGGGTTGAATAATTATGGGGATGTGCAGTTTGAAACCCCTCTTTCGTTTTCCGCTCATGCGTGGCGTTCACCTTTTGGCGATTGAACGTATAGGTGGTTATGCAGTGTGGTGGCGCTTTCAGAGTGTGGACACATGGGGAGGCAGCTCACCCGTGTTGCAGTTCTACATGCACCTCTTACGCATCCCCCACCCGTGTTGTGCTTCCACGTGCACCTCTTACGCAAGACGTACGCCCCCTTTTGTCGACCCACCTGGAGGTATCCACCTGGTAATGGCGCACCAAGTGGTTAGTCAAAGTGTTTAGCAGCACCATGGCGAAGCACTTGATTTTACAAAGGTTCAAATTTATCCTAGAGAAATTTTCACTTTCGCGTTCATGGTTCATTTCATCTTCGTGGGGGAGCTCTTGGATGCGTTCATCGATGGAGTGGAAGTAGCTGTGGTTGTTGCACTTGGGGCTGTCCACCTCCGAGCTGATGTTAACAGTGGACGAAATGATATAGTACACCTTGTTGATGTCATGAATTAGTAGTGCCATTTCGTTATATGTCGTGAAGTTTAGGTAGGAGAGAAGGTAAGTCAGAATTTGAATATATAAAAAAAGGAAGTAGTTAATATAGGTAAATTCGTCTACATTCATCTGGTGGTGCACAAGGTAGTTGTATTTTTTCCTTATTTTTTCGATTACGTCTTTTTCGTCGCTGTTCTGTTCTGAGCTGGTTCCTACGTCGGAAATGTTTTCATCGATGATTTTTTCGCTCGATTTCGAATTGGAGCAACTGGATGCCTCTTCGTCCTTGTTCATCCTTTTGCTGTTTGCCTTGTCGCTAGACTTGGGCGGCTTGTTTTCCTCCAGTTGGAAGTGGTCCTCTTCGTTGGATGCTCCGCTTCCCGCGTTGTTAGCCCCCTTTACAGTCCTTCTCATGGCCCTCTTCGGGGAAGACGAATCCGAGCCACTGTCCCGTGGATCCTCGCTCTGGCTGATCTGGCCGCTCTTGGCGCTCGACCGACTTTGGGGCATGTACTTCCTGACGATGAGCGCGTATATATCTTTCACACGGGGGATGCGAACGGAGACGTTCACGTTGCAGCCATCTCTCCTCGAGCCGTCTCTACTGGTACCCTCTCCATGTGTTCCCCCCCAGGTGGAGGCGTTGTACTTGGAACCCACATCCCGTATGAAGCTTCGAACCTTATCATACAGCACTAGGTGGCAGGCGTTTTCGATTTCTTTAAGTACCGTTTTGACATATTTCATTTTTAAATTTTTATTGGTTAAACGGTCGTAAATATCTAGGAGGCACTGGAAGAAGGGTTGCTCCATTTTGTTAAAGAGGAGTGTGTCTGCGGTTAGGAAGTGGGCAGTGTCCCTCATTGGACGGTCTTTCTCCTGGTTAAAGCCCCCCCTGTCAAAATTACTAAACATGTAGTGATTTTCAATTAGGTAGAAGAGCATATGATGGAGGCACTCCGCCAAGCTGTTTACAAAATTGTAACTCTCTTTGTCCAAAATGCAGTTAATAATTTTTTCACTTCTACATTTTAACTTCATGTCTGGAGTGAAACAGAGGCAGAAAATACTTGGGCAGATTTTCATCCCTTGGATGAATCCCTCTTTGTACAGATTTCCCAAAATCTGAATTCCTAAATTTTTAATCAAGTAAAGTTCTTCTGTGGAGCAGTCTATGTATATAAACCGGTTAACCCTCAGCATGTCGATAATTTTTTGAGCAAATAGGGAGGCCACCAGGAGGACGTGTATGATATCGTTATTGTGTCGATCCTCTTCGTTCCCCAAGTTGGGGCTACCTGCGACTTGTTCATTACTTATCAGTAGTGTGTCATTTGGTTCGTACGAAATGGAGTTGGTATTTTCTTCTTGTTTGTTTATGCCTTTATTGGCTTCCTTTTCTCGTTTGGTGTGGCTCCTTTTGTGTGGGTCGTCTGTGTTTTCCTCCTCCAGGGTTGCCTCCCTTTTGACTCTGTCCTTTTGGTGGTTACCCTTTCCTGGTTCGTCATGACTACTTATATTGGTAGGGTCAAAATGGAATCTGTGTATGTCTTCACTTTGGTTTACACCCTCTTCTTCGGGTGTATCCGATAGGGTGTTTTCTTCCCCATTTGTAAGTTTTACCCGGTGGCAGTTACCCATTGCACTATTTCGGATAATAGTTTCCGTGGTTTTACTCTCCCCCTTTACGCAGTTGCTATGATTAGCGTTTCCTCTCCTGCTGGTGGTCATTTTCCCTTTTTTCGTAGTTCTATGTTGTTGCTCCTTGGGGGACACAAGCATACTGATTCTCCTACCCTGGGTTTCACTTTCGCATTTCCTCCTCTTGATACTTTGCGCGAGGAGCAAATTATCCTTGTTGTTAAGAAACTGCTCGTATGTCTTAATAAGCTGAAGCAGCGTGTATAGAAAATTCTTCTGCAAAATCGGATTGAACGAATTTATGCAAAAAAAAAAAACATTTCTCAATTTTAGGTCATTCATAAAATGGGAGTTGTAAAAGTTGGAGAGTATTTTACTTAAGCATAGGAGGAAAAAGCATTTGTATTTTATGTCATTCGAAATGTAGAACAGGTCTACAATTAGATTGACTACAATTAAAGACAGATCATAAAACTTATAGTTACATATATCGACAAACTTCTGTATCTTCTTAGTGTTAATTTTTTTCTGAACAATTTCTGTAATTATTTCATTTTTCAGTTTGAGAGTATTCCATTTGTTAATATAATCGACCTCCTTATTGAACATGAACTCAAAGTAGAGAATTCCTTGACTGTATATCTGCACACGTCTTGCGATGTCGGAGAGTTTGATATATTTTACACTATTCGTTTGGTTTTCGTCATCGGATTTGAGGGGATCTGGCTTCTCTTTCTTTCTGGTGTATTGGTTCGATCCTCCCCCTTTCGCCCCATTGCAGTGGTTCTTCTTGCTTCCACTTTTGAGCTCTTCCCTGTTTGTCTCTTCGGTGTCGCCCACCCAGACATGCGTGTGGCGGTCCACCCCTTCGGAATACACATCGTTCACAATAATCTTGTTGATGTTGATAAATTCCATCATCACCGAAATGAGCCACGCGTGTTTATCTAAATTTAGCACATCGGTGTGCGTCACGCAGAAAATGTCGAAGATATGTTTTTTGTACTGATCTAGGTGATTCACAAATTCTTCGTAGGGCACATCGATGAGATTGCAGGTGAAGAAGTGGTCGGGGTGGTTTTCTTCCTTTTGTAGGTTTCCCTCCTCTGGGCCGTTAATCTCTGCTGTCTTAGAATAGGCGCGGCAAAGTTTCCCGCGCACGCGCTGTTTCTCCTCCTCAGTCATAAACTGAAACTCGCGCACGAAGTCGTTGAGCTGCACGACGTAATTATTTATTAGGAAGCACAACTTGTATTTGTGTAGCTTTATAAGGCACTCTTGGATATACGTCTTGAAATAAACAAAGTTGGAAAAGATATACGTGTGTAGAGTGCAGAGCAGCTGGACGTACGACCTCGAAATGAAAATATTCTGATGGTAAAGCAAAGCGTTGTTGAAGTGCACCCTCTTAAACTGGAACTTTAAATTCAGGTCCAACTTACAGTGCGGAATAATCGATGATAACAGCTCGCACACATCCTTGGACACATCGTTGTTATAAATGTATGGATAAAAAAAATCCATATATCTGATAAATAGACTCGGCATAATTTCGATTATAATGTTAAATATGTTTATAATTTTTTTGGTCTCCTTTTCGAGGGAACTATTTCTTCTACTTCTAATGAAGAGACAAATTAAATTATGGATCCAGACTTCTAGCACATATTTCACCTTTTTTTTCGTCAAGATTTCTAGGTATTTGTATGAGTTGCTTAGGTATATGTTGTATATGCTGTTTTTAATTTTGAGCAGGTTGCTTTGTTGTTTGGTCTGCCCCAGGCCTGTTTCTCCGTCTTCGGGGGGGTCTTGTTCGTCGGACTCATCCATCGAAACGTCCGCATTTTTTTTGCTTATTAGATGGTTCGTGGTTTTTCCTTTTCCTGTCCAGCAGGCTCCTTGGGTGGGTAAATTGCCTCCACGTTTGTGTCCATTTTTGCACCCATTTTTGTAGCCACTTTTGTAGCCACTTTTTGGCGCGAGTTTGTAGCTACCCGAGGCACCGCTCCTATGGGCGGCGCTGTGGGGATTCCCCCCCGCTCGCATCCCCTCCTTGTCTTGTTCGCTCAGAAAGCACAGAACTGAGTCCAACCTCTCGTCATACATCCTTACGTTCTTCTCCATGTGGGAAAGCATCTTACTGACGATGTTTATGTTGTGCTTGTTTTTCATTACGTAAAGAAGATGAATAAAGAGAGTGTACATATTTTTTTCAATCCTTATTTGCACCGTGGAATCCTGTTCCATGCCCACTACTGATTGGCTTTCTTCCGATTCGTATCCTCTACCATGTTGCGCGTTTGGGTACTCCCCATGGGCCTGTCCATGCTGGTAGGGGTCTACCTCTACTTCTGGGGTACCTTCCCTTTTCTCCATCTTCCGCTTCGCTTGCGTGAATATGTTAATGAAGAAAATGTCGATGAATATTTCGAGGACGGCGCTCTTCATCGTTTCGTTGTCGAAGGTGGACACGTACCGTTCGATCAGGTCGTTCATGATAGAGAGGTTGTCGTGGATGCAGTCGCTTTGGCTGGTGTGGCGGCGGTCCTCTCCGTTTACGTGGTACTCATCTGCGTGGTGCTGCTCATCGGCCTGCTGCTGTTCGTGATTCTTATGATCCTTGTGCTCCTCCTCCTCGCCATGGTCCTGTTCGCTGGCTGCTTCTGCCCCTCCCTGAGAGTACCTCTTCGCGTAGACGTTAAAATACACGATATATTTTAAAATCTTCACGCTGACAATTCGAATGCTGATTTTTATGTCCTTTGAGCAACGCCTAATGGAGTCGACAATCTCGTTTGTGATGTATTGGTTCAGATCGATGGGTTGGTTACGGTTGTAATGATTGATTATTTCCTTCTTTTCGTTGAGTTCATTTTTCTCCTCGTTAGTAGCAGTCGGACTGTACTCCGTTTCGACAGCCTTAGTGTGGGTACTACTTAGCGGATGCTTCGTTATTCCGCCGATCAGTTGGCACCGATCGGACAGATTTTCTACCTCCAGAAAATTTTTGCAGAAGTTGTAATATATGTACAGTGTGTATTCTCTGACCTTTAGATAATTATCCGTCAAGCAGGACATCAAAATGTTTTGCGTGTGCTTGCACTTCAGGTACAGATAGTTATCACTTATAATATTGTTGATTATGGAAATGCTGTAGTACCTGAGATTCTTGTTTCCGTTTTCGTAGAGTATGTAGAAGAGCTGATTGAGGGCTACGAAGAAATAATCGTAAAAGGAGAAGTAGAGGTGAATCCTCCATACGATGTTGATATAAATGTCAAAGTTGTGTGCGCAGGTGCACTTGGTCAGGGCCTCGTCGTCCTTTCTGTCGGCATTTCTGTATTCGTGGCACAGCATCTGGGTGAATTTACTCACGCGGGTGGATTTGTTCCCATTCAGGGGAGCGGCACCTATCTGAGAAGAGGTACCCTTCATTGGAGGGAGTACCTTCTTCATCTTCTTCTCCTCCTTTTCGCCCGTGATCCACTTCGTCGTTCCCTCCTCTGGATCCCCATCGACGCACAAAAAATCATTATACAGGATGAGTATGTAAGAGTACACATGATTGCAGTTTTTGTCTATGCCTTCAATGACCTTGTCACATTTGAGGTGTACCATGAGGTAGTAGTAATATACGACGAAGGCTTTCAGTTTATTCACAAATTTTTCAAAACAGTAGAAACCCTTATTCTTTTCTTTCTTCTTCCTAAATTTGCTATTCAGAAAGGTGTCGTTCCCTTGCGCCTCTCTGATTATAATGCCTTTGATGATGTTTCTCACTTTGCAGTTATCACAGTTGTATTCTGCTACGTTGGAACAGTGCAGAAGTTTTTCGATCTGTTTCGTGGTGTCCTGGTCGAGGCTTTCCCATTGACTGTGCTTTTTATCGCCGTTCCACTGGCTGTTTTCTTTCTCGCTGTTTGTTTGGTTATCTCTTCCTGTTTTACAGAGGCTGTTGTACCTCCAGGTGGTATCCTCCTGGGGAATGTCCCTCTGCGTGCTCATCTTCTTCGCGTCTTTGTAAATGCATGTCTTGTGATAAAACGATTCACACTGTCGGCACCGGAGAAGTTGATCGTTTTTTTGCATCTCGTCGCAGCACCTGAGGAGTTTCATCATTTCTCCGGGGAGACGTTCGCCTCGATTGGTACTAAGTAGTTCCTTTTTTGCCGCTTCCTCGGCAACCTCCTCCTTTGGCCCTTTCTTCCCCTTTGTGTTTTTTTTTTTTTTTCCCGAAATTTCTCCCCCCGTGATGCAACTGTGGGTTGCGAGTCCCTCCTTGGCTTCCTTAAAACCGTCCAATCGAAAGAGCGGCTTTATAAACTTATTCTGGCACAGCTCCTGGTTCAAATTGTACAATAAATGGAAGCAAGCGTCATTCACATAGTTGTATACATTAAATGTATACTTCAAAATGTATCTTAATATAAAGAGACAAGTCTCTTTTACATTGCCTTCATGTCTCTTGTTAATGACATCAAAGAATATGTGAATAGAATTTTTCACAAACAGTGTACTTATGCTGAATAGGGGATTGTCGCAGCATTTTATTAGGTCCAGAATGAGGGACTGCAAAATGGTTTTCGCATTTTTGTTGTCCTGGTAGAGAGTTTTTTCGATAATCTCTATTAGTATATAATTGACTACACTGTTTAGCCTCTTGAAGTTCTTCCTCATCATGTACTGGTTCAGGGATTCCTCCGACGGGTCTTCTTCCCTTCCTGAGGTTGTGCTCATTATCTGGTTGATTTTCTTTTCTCCGTTGTTTTTCGCACCCTTGGTGTTGCCCTTTTTCTGCATTGTTAAAATGTGTTTTTTTTTTTTTTTTTTCTTACTACTAACATTTGTTTCTATTCTTTTGTCTTTCTTGTCCGATTCGTATTCATGTGTACTACTCGCATGATCATAATCGTGGGGGTAATCCTTTGTTGTTTTTCTTTTCCTTAACGAGTATTTTGTTTTTCCCTCTTTTGCATTCATTTGGTACTGCCTGGGGGGTTCGTTACCAGTGGTGCGTTTTTTTTTTGTTCCCTTTGTTTGACTGTCTTTTGGGGGGTCCCCACTGGAGGTGCTGCTACCTTCGTCCTCGCTTGTGAAGATGCTTAGGCTGCGCGATTGGTCAGACTGCCCAGCGTCCTCCCTTCCACGGGCATTGCGGGCGTTGCGAGTGTGCCCAGTATTGTGACGGCTTCCATCGTTTCGCCTGCTTCCATCGTTTCGCCTGCTTCCATCGTTTCGCCTGCTTCCATCGTTGCGTCTGCTTCCGTTGCGCACTTTCTTGGGGAGCTTTTCCGCATAGTACTCATCATCATCGTTGTCCGTCTCACTGTTGGAGTCGTCGTGGATCCTCCTCGCCGCTGATGTGCCCTTGCGTCCCCCTCCCGGATGGTGGCCCAGAAAATATTTCCTCTTCAAATCACCCTCATAGTGAGAAAACGAATCTGCAATTTTAATAAGCAGGAAGGTAGTCAGGTGTATGTATGTAGAGTTCACGTGGCTATTTCGGAAGTTCAATTTGTTGTACCTAAAGTTGACGTTGTTTATATTTGACAGAACGTCGTCCAGGACATATTTCTTCATTTTTTTTCGACTCTTATTTCTAAAAAGCCTTAACAACAAATTGCATGAGTTCAAAATAATGTTCTGCACATTGTAATTCGTTTGGAGGGTGAGGGTGCACAGATCAAGAAGGTTAACCAGGATAGTGTCATACTCCTCTATGTACATATAGAAATCGGAAATATAGAGGAGGCACTTTTCATAAACCCAGTTTAGCTGTACTAGGTAGGTCTCATGCACATGGTAGAACTGAATGACTCGATTTCTGATTTCGCAGTGACATAACTTGAGGACAACATTTTTAAAGTTGATCTTTAGGTTTATCAGGACCTGTTCGTTTAGTTGCTCTGTGTCTACATATTTTTTGAAGCACTCGAAATTGAGCAGAATCACATACAGCAAGATGTTGTAGTGTCCGTATATGAGGTCGCACATGACGGCTTCGTTTGGCTGCTTGGCGATTCGTGAGTTGTTCGCGCTGTGTTGTTTCCCGCCATTCTGTGCGCTACTATGTGGATCAGTATGTGGTGCATTTTTTGTGCCAGCCTTACTACGACCTTTACTACTACCCTTGCTTCTACTTCTGGGGGCACTTTCCTTCGCGCGTACTGTCTCATCCGCTTCACCAGCGTCTTTCGGGGGGTCACTTCCGCTTTGGGAAATCTCCTCCCGTTCGTCCTCCGTGCGGTAGTCTTCCTCCACGTTACTGTAGGTGCCAGTCCCTTGGGCATGTCTGCTTTCTCCTGTCCTTTCCCCTTCAACAGACGACTCCATGTCCCTTTTCCGACCCCTTCTGTAACAGATCTCCTTACTGAGAAATTCCTTCACATTTGCAAAAATCTTTTCAAACACGAGTTCGACTTTACTTCCTTCATCGTAAACCATGTGCTTATCATTTTTGAGGCATCCCTCTAGACAGGTCACTATTCGTTTCATCTTTTTATTTTTGTTTATGTCGCTTGAGTTGATACTTAGGAAGGAGTCCATGTGCTGTTCCAGTTGGGGCCACCTTCTGTTATTCTCTCTGGGCTGAATAGAAACGTCACAATCATGGTTCACCATCATTTGGTTGTTTTGCTCCAAGTCGTTTTTGATGCACCTGTTGGCTTCCTCGTTTGGGTCATCCGGTTGAGGCGATTCCCTCTCCGCGTCTACGTCCGCTTCTGCACCCGCCTCTACGTCTGCTTCTTCGTCTGCACCCATCTCTACGTCCGCTTCTTCACCCGCTTCTACGTCTGCTTCTTCATCTGCACCCATCTCTACGTCCGCTTCTGCACCTGATTCTGAACCCGATTCTACGTCTGCCTCTATGCCCCCTTCCAACTTCTGCCCACTTTCGACATGTGGCGCCTCTAACCATTTCGCTTCCATCTCCTTTATCTGCATGTCATCCATTTTGCCCACCTCATTGGGACTTTCTGCGGTCCTTTCCACCTGCGTGGGTTCCCTCCACTGGGTTATTTCTCCAGATTTTTTTTTTCGTACGCTGTTCTTGTCAGGCATATCTGAAATGGGTTTTCCTCCCTGTGATGGATTGCCATTTTCATCCCCTTCATCTTCGTCTGCTAATACGCTAAGTGGGTTACTCTTTTTATCGCCTTCACATTTGACATGATGGATTATACCATATGGGGGGTCCTCATAGGTGTGTTTTCCTTTTCCTTGTGCATCCTTGGTAGGTAGTGATTGCGGGAGATCTCGCAATGTTGCGTCATCGAGTGGGGGCTTCTTTAGGGGTTCCTTCTCAGTCGGCTGTACTTTTGGCGGGTTGTAACGGGACAGGTGCTCATATACCACCTCCACATCAATGGCGTTAGCATGAGCTCCTTCCGGGTAAGCTTCCCCCCTGTAAGCTTCTCCCATTCCGTTTGACACCCCGCGGGGGGGTTCACCAAAGATGTTGCTCCTACCAGGGGGTATTCCAGTTTTCTCGAACTTCTTCAACCTGGTAAACTGGTACTTATAAGCTAACTTCATTTTGTCCACTTCGTTTATTACCCTTTGATCGATGTGGTTGCAACTAGTAAGGAAGGCAGGTTCACTCTTCATTTCTTGGCATCTGTTGTGGCACCAGTGGATGTTGGAGAATCCTGTTTGCTGATTCCTATACGTGCCACTTAACCGGTTAGAGTTGTCCACAAAACCGTGGAAGTTGGAAGAGTGCCTGAGTGGAAGCACGTCCATGTCCAATCTTCTCTCAGAGGAGTAATTCTCACCATTGTACATATAACCATCAGGGGGACCCCTATAAAATCTGAAGTTCCCAAAATTGCAGCTCTGAGTAGTTTGTCTTCCCAATGATGATGACGAGGAATATCTCCCATGGGGACATGCATTTTTAGAGTAAATGATTCGTTCATTATTTCCGTGTTCATTTTTTTTTTTCTTTTTTTCACACAGGGGATGATTTTCATTTGTATATTTTCTTTTATTTTGAAAATTTTGCGATTTTAAGATTTTCAGTGCTAGTTCTTCCGGCGTTTTGCAGTTCTCCAGGTGGTTAATTTTTATGTTGTACGAATTGGATGCATTTAGAATATGTTTTGACGACGTACCTTCATCATTTCTTTTGTTTCCTTCCTTCACCCCGCTGTCGTTTGATCCGAACAAATCGTATTCCTCATCGATGTTCGCATGGACGTACTTGGAATTATTCAAGCCAACCGTAGTTGGGATAATACTTCTGAACATTCTGGATGAAGTTATTGTAGTTATGGGTTTTCTTTTTTGGGGGAAGGGGATTATAGCGACCGGTCCACACACATCCGTTTGCGGGTGCTACTTGGCCTTGTACATTTAGTTGCTGAAGTAACCACAGGAGAGAATTCCCAATTGGTTAGTCTAACGTGTAGAGAAGGGGATTATATTGCTTTTAAAATTATTATAAGAGGGTGATATGTTCTATGCAGATGTGCAGATCTGGGGCCGAGGGCGTAGGCACATACGTGATGCTCGCGATGTGTACGACTGCACATTTGTGTAAGCGAGAATGCAGCGTGTGGTACCCTTGCCGTAATTCCCCTTGACGTCCTCGCTACCGTTTTACACTTGGCTTCTAACTATGCATATTAAAAACGAAAAAAAAAAAAGAAAGACGCCTCCCCCGGATTTTCCCACTTTGGTGCATGACAATTCTCTGAGCCGTTACGGCGTCATCACTTGGGTGAAACTCTTCGTGTTCAGGTAAATCGACGTGGAAATTCAAGCAGGTAGGCGCCAGATCGAAGTGATCTAATCGTTTAAATCTCGAATTGTCACAAAGGGGGAAGATAACACAAGGCATACGCCCATGAACTGTGTTAAAATTTATAACAATTAGACGCTTTTTCTTTTTTTTTTTTAAATGCAAACAATTTTATGAGGTCACAAAAGAAGGGAGGAATCTTTTCGCGGAAAACAGTCACATAAAAAAAAAAGAAAAAGTTGAGACAAAAAAAAAGAAAAAAAAAAATAACGGATGCAATGTAGGAGGAGACGCATGAAAAGGGAAGATATAACCATACAGTTTAACACAAAAAAAAAAAATTCAGTTGGTCAAACTTAACAAAAAAATAACGACCAAGTGGCGTAAAAACATGCGAGGCATTCTGTCTGGAAATTTATTAGCCGGCTAGCGGCATGACGAAAATTTGCCAAAAATCAAACACTTTTAAGCATAAGATATTTTGTTGTAAGGTAACGAACGCTTTGAACAAGCATTATTTTTGCAGAGTGTTAAAGGGCTTCGCAATTTTTATGACTACAGGGTTGGTCCATATTTTGCTCACCGTTCGGCTGGCAAATAGTTATTCTTTTTGCAGTGTCGTCACTTTGCTGTGCTGCTACCTTGCTGTGCTAACATTGTGCGTTTTTTTTTTTTTTTTTTTGCACAAGGCTGACTGTGCATTAAATTGATAAGATGTAACAAGGGGCTGCAAAGTCTGGGTGAGAATTGAAGGAACGCGATCTCGTTATGCGAATTTGGCAAAGCATCAACCTACTCGTCCGGATGTATAACTAGTTTAAAAGTTAATATTTTGAAACACTTGCAGGGGGGAGAGACACATGGAGTAATCAGCGGATAACGCCATTGTGTGTGGGTGTGGCGCATCGTTCTTATGGTCACACGTTTATGTTACATGTTTGTATACATTTGTATTTTTTTTTTTTTTTTTTTCCCCTTTGTATTTACACGAATAAGTCCATTTACATGCATGTGACCCCTCCGCGCGGCGCAGATGTCATGAAACACACTTAGCGCTTTTCGCAAACATCTCAAACGGGAATGTTTTTAACTAATGAAATGAGAGGAAAAGGGCAACGGGAAGGAATATTTTTATAAGAGCTACTCGGAAGAAAAGTTGTGCACGATATTTTTGCCTTTCTGCTCGATTTTGCAGAGAAGCCATTAGAGAATGAGGCATTTTTTCCCCTACAATACTATGCCCTTAGCGAATGTGTGCATTTTTTTTTTTTTTTTTTCGCTTCTCTGCATACATGTTGGTTTTTTTTTTTTCCCAATTTTTACCGCAACGTTGAAATATTTTCAGATGCCTCGCTTTATTTGGGCACGGTCAAATGGTTGAACTATTATTTGACTGCTTTTGTAAAAATGTCAGGAATCCACAGAAAATGTTCTTTTTCAAATGGTAACAAATTTACGTTTTCCCGAAAAGACCTTAAAAGTTCAGTGTGTTTGGATGCGTCACGAATGATTAAGTGTTATGTTTACTGGATCGCCTCCCGACGACATGAGAAAAAAGGGAATGTGCAGCTTTTGAAAACGAGCAGCTTCCAGCATAGCGGATCACCGCGTCATTTTTGTTTCTCCCGAGTTAATTTATCACTTTGTAAAGCCTTTGGAGGGTTCGTATGGCCAACTGAAAAGTGCTACAACGCTCTTAACGGAAAGGGGGGGATAATCCCCAATGTGCTACTCGCCTACGTACCAGCAACGAGTTCCTTTTTAATTTTGCTCTCTGAAACGGATTAGTCTTTTCGTTTGTCATTATTTTGTGCACGCTGGAGTTTGTTTCGCCCGTTGGTTGTAGTGTTCGTATTTGCGTTGGCGTCCTTTTCTGTTTCTATTGCTTTCTTTATTTTTTTTTTCCACCCCTTGTTGTGAATTCGACTTGTTTACCAATCAGGCTACTCAACAAAAATGTGTACGAACGCGATGATATCTTCGTTCTTTATAAACGCTCGGGTCGACACCAGATAAGTCTCCTCAATCTAACGTTACTTAAAAAGTTAACACACCATAGATAAGCGCAAGGAGAGAAGTAACAGTAGGGTAATGTATGCTTTTTCGCCCGTCATTAGTATCCACTTTGAAACGCATCGTGGGCATCACACAATGGGGGCATCCCCAAGGGACTTATCATCTTATACATGCTCCCGCTCAGAGCATGCTGATAAATATACGTACCTATGCCGCATCGCCTAAACGGATCCAAATTTTAGCGTTACAAAAATGTACGTCATATAACGAATGGCAAAAAAAAAAAAAAAAATAAAAAATACAATACAATAAAAAGGTAAAAGAAAAACTTCTCTTATCAGATGAAGGAAACATCTCCCCACCCCACCCTACCTTCCCCTGGCAAAACACATTTAAGTAAAATGCGAATTCAGATTAGGGTTTTTTCGCATCCCTGTGAAAAAGGAAATCTTCATTTTTTTTGGTGTCATATGACCTCTCCCCCATTATTGTTAGTTAAATAATAGTATAAAAAAAAAAAAAGAATACAAAATGAAATTAGAGGAAGAAAAGGATGAAAAGAAAAAAGATCAAACGGAAAAAAAAATCATTTCGCAGAGGATGAAGAAATTGTGTTTTATCTTGAACAATCCTATTATCGACATAAGTACGTGAAAGAGCAACACGGCTAGATGTGCATATTTGAGCGGTGACATTGAGGGTGGGGCGATGTCCTCACGTCTGTGCTCATTACTTCCGCATAGCCAATTATGTGGCATCCCTCAGAAAAAGTGCACCTGAGTAGATACCTGTGCGTTTCATCTACATGGAATGAATCTGTAGCTTCTGTGCAGTTCTTCCTCTGCTTTCGTTCCTGTCTGCAGAGGAGAGTGCTATTCGAGGGAAGAAGGGGGGGGGGAGATTGTCCCCTACGTGCATTCCCAGCCGTGTGCGCCGATGTGTTCTCTCCTCAAATGGGCCAGCTTTTTTGAGATGTATCTGGAGCCATCACAAAGGGAGCTTCAGACATTGACTGGGCATACGGGAGTCCCCTCCGCCAACATGCCCTCTTTTTCCCCCTTATTTTGTCCCCCTTCTGTACAGATGAACTGAAGAACATCCTATGGGGGGGAATATCCGATGAGATGGGCTTCGACGTGAGGGAGAACTGCTGGAAGCTAGCCCTTGGATACCTTCCCCTAAATCGAGAAGATACAGATAAAGTATTAAAAAAAAAAAGAGATGAATACGAAAATTTGAAGAAAGAATATTACTACAATAAGAGTAAATTGTCAGAAGAAGAAATGAAGATTTTACGTCAAATTAAGGTGGACATACCACGGACAAAATCCTGTTACAACATTTTTAATCATAAAAAAATTCAGCAGCTGAGCGAACATGTGCTGTTTATATACTCGGTTCGACATCCAGCTTCCGGATACGTACAAGGAATTAACGATCTGGTGACCCCATTTTTAATCGTTTTTCTAAGACCGATAGTTTTAAAGAAGGAAATAAATTCTGATGATATAGACAGGATCACTGATGATGCGTTGAGGAACGTTGAATCGGATTTATATTTTTGTCTTTCCAAACTGCTGGAACAGATTCAAGATAATTATACTTTTGGACAGCCAGGCATTCAAAGAGCAATCATAAAAGTTAAAGAAATAGTAAAACGAATTGATAATTCTTTGTTCAATCATATTTACGAAAATAATATCGACTTCATTCAGTTCTCCTTCCGATGGGTGAACTGTCTTTTGTTAAGAGAATTTCCCATAAATATATCTGTGAGATTGTTGGACACGTACATAAGTGACATATGTGACATTTTCACTGACTTCCATCCGTACATTTGCGCCGTTTTTTTAGTTCACTGGTCTAAGTACTTAAAAGAGATGGACTTTCAGCAGATGCTCCTTTTCATGCAGCGCTTTCCCACCCAGAATTGGAAGATTCAGGACATCGAGTCCATTCTGTCCGAGGCCTTCGTTTTGAAAAACGCCTTCCAATCCTCCCCCAAGCATTTTTCCTAGTCCCGAGGGGAGGTCACCTGCGATGGGGTAAACTGTCAAGCGGTAAACTGCGAAGCAGTTGTGCTCATTAGCTGCGAATCCTCCCCCTGTCATATCACATTCCAGCCATGTGGGTGTCTGACCTTTCCGACGTGCGTTCGGGCGCGGGGGACACATGCTCGTGCCCGTCTATACACGCATACAACTCAAAATCTCTGGCGAACACATTTTTCAACCCGCGGAACGGGGAAGCAGAAACCATTAGCGTTTCATGCGCGTCTCCCATTTTAAATTAAACTGAATTAACATATTTTTTTTTTTTTTTTGACTGTACAAATTTTTAATAAAACATAAAAAAGACGCCTTCGTCAATTAGCATGGTAGGGATAGGTGCTACATGGGATAAAAACGAATCGTCCCCATTTTGAAAGGCGAAGAATGGGAAGACCTTTTGGTCCACCCTCTGGTCAACGCCTTGGTCAAGGCCCGCCACACATGCAAGCATAAAATGGATAATTTGGCACATGCATAGCAGGGTAATCTCATACGCTTCTTCGTCTGTGGTGTTTCCCCCTTTTATTCGTCCTTTAATAAAGTTAATTTGTTTCGCAAAAATGTGAGCACATAAAACTGCGGCAGCGCAAGGGAGGGAAACACGTTCAGATGCCCGCCTCTCTTGCGCTTCCGCCCTTTGAGCTGCGCCGCATATTCGAGATCGTGCGTGTTTGCATGCGTTACTTTTCCGTGCCCTCAAACAGCAACCGAGTTGTTTCATACACGTTTATGCACGCGCGTATACGCATGTGTATCTGTTGGTGTGAGCATGGGTTGCCGTGCGTATCTTCTGGCATGCATATATGCTGGCCCTTTTGTGTACGTTCACTTGCCACCCATTTCGCTACTCCCTCTGTGCATACTTGCGCGGAGACGCAACAAGAACGCGTTTCCCCGTTTGGGGGCTTCGCGCCGAGGGGCATTTTTTGCGATTTACCTTTTTGAGTTTTCCTCAATTTTATATTTTGCTTCCATAATTTTGTATAGTGTCAAAAAATTTACTTTTTTTGGCTGCGCATGCTTGGCCAGATATGTTGAGCGAGTCAAAGACTGGGCACGAAATTTGAGGCGTAGAGCGGAAAAAAAAAAAAGACGAAGAAGACACGGAATGCGCAAAAGAATAGACGCGAAAAGTACATGATGGCCTCTCTGTTAGACTTAAACAAAAGTACAACCACGGACGGAGAACCTTCTTAAACTGGTTCCCTCCTGCCAGCAACATTTCCGCATTTGTAACATTTAAAAGAAATAAAAAAAAAAAAAAAAAAAAAAAAAAAAAAAAACAAAAAAGGGAAGGTGGTTGGTGAAAGAAGCATCTCCATGTGGATTTTTCAGCAGTTATAACGAACATCTGTAGAAATAAAGGCGTTAGCGCTTATTCGTTGGGAGTATAATTACGAATATGTAGTTACATGCGGGGCATCTGTCCTCATCTGGACTTGCACACTTGCGCGCATATATTCATAGCTGCACGCACAAGGATAAGTACAAAGCGGAAATTCGTTTCTTTCTTATTCATCTTCCAGAAGAGCTACTATTTGACCGTCTCTTTCGGCTGTTACACCAACTTGTTTTTCCCCCTCAACCGCATCCCAATTGTCCAAATCCAAAAGAACAAAATGAGTTTTAAGGAAAAGATGTACAAAAGGAAGAACTGCGATGAAGTCGTGTATGAGTAAGTGGACAGGAGGAAAGGTTATGCACAAGTGTAGGAATCCATGTTCTTGCTTCCTTGCGCGATGTGTCACAGATTTCCCTCCACGTAACATGCCCCCACTTGGCTTCAAACCAAAGTGGCTATCGTTACCGGGAGTACAACGCATAGCTGTTTGTTTATTTTTCCTCCCAACCCCCCTCCGTCTGTTTAGGGCCTATGGAAAAATTGATCAAAATTTTAAGTCGAATGGAAATATATTAAAGGAGAAAAATGGTACGTCGGAAGATGCTCAGTTACGGCTGACATGGGGAGTAACCCTCATTGGGGAATGTCTATACGTGGAGTGCTCACCACACTGCTCGCCACACTGTTCGCCACACTGCTCATTCCTTCCCCCCTGTAGACGTCGACAAAAGTTTGACGAAGAACCTCCCCTTCTTTATGAACAAGGATACGAATAATAAGGTAAAAGATAAGAGGAGAACCCCACGCGATTAGAAGAATGTACATGTGTGGATGTAGAGCTGCATTCCCGTGGAGCCACCCCTTTCGATGTCTCCTCCTTTGAACCCCTTGCAGCAATGGGGTTGCCCCGTGAAGCGGAAACGTGCGCGCACACACGAGTGCCTATATATATGTGCTTTTGTATATGTCCGATGTATATATGTGCATATATATAGGCGAATCGACTGATGCACTTATCCCCCCACGCGCACTGCAGAAGAAGTACGACTACCGGATGAACGTCAACGAGCGAGACGAAGACGTCGAATTCGTGGCGAAGGCAATGAGAATTTATTTAAATGTGGATGAGGCGATCAGAGTCCGAATGGCACTCTTGTACACGACGGAGCAGTTCACACTATTTCGAAATTATTTGATAGCCATCAAGGAAATACTAAAGGGAGTTTTAACAATCAAAGTTACGAGGAAGGGAAAAATAAAAAAAAAAATATTAAAATTTAATCGTGGACATATATGCATCATGGCGAATTGGTCAAGGAAAATACTAGGGTATGATGAGATCACCCAAATTAATATTGGCAGTAGCTGCACCCCCGAATTGAGATTGTTTGAGAAAAAGTATCAAGACACTTCCAACAGGCCCAACTATGTTGTCCTGAGGACTCTCTACAGGGATTACAGTTTTTTGTTTATAACCGATGAAAAAATTTTAGTGAGAGTTAAGGGTGAATCTCCACTTATAAAATTAAAAATTCTGCTAAAAAATCCAAATGTTCTTCTGCAAAATCGTGATTTGCACTTAAATAATTCCCTTATGAGTGAACTGAAAGATAGCACCATTTCGACGACTCAGGAAAACTGTGAAGACATGAGGAGAGATCGACAGGAGGAGAACTACGAGGGGGCACCAGGTAGCATCAGCAATGATGTGATAGCTAAGGACAACATGCAGGACATGAATAATGTGAGCCAAGGATTTAAGTACTTTTTTTTGACTGTACTTCGGAGCATCAAATCGAGGCCTGTCGACATGTACAATGAGGAAATCAAAGCGATAATTAAAAAAAATAATATGATTTTCTTTGATAAGTACGATTTTAAAAATAGGAAAATTAATTCTTTTTTCCTTTTCTGTCAAATACAGTTTGACATTTGTGGGCCAGAAATCTGGTTCACCTCCAAATTTGACGAGATACTCTTCACGCACATGAATTAGGCATTTCCTTTTGTTCCAACGACGTTGTCGCGTTTTTTTTTTTTTTTTTATTTGTTTTCGTGTGGATAGGGGTATGAGTGTGCATAAAATGTTGGCATTTTTGTGTGACGCATTTCTAGCCGGGTACAGACGTGCAAAAAAAAAAAAAGATGATTAAAAAAAAAATACCCAGTGGCAAATAAAAAGGTGCCGCGTTTTTTGAGCAGCGCCCATGGGACACCTGTTTGTGTGCGCGCGAAAGGGACGACTACTCCTGGAGGTCCTTTGTCAATCCCTGCTTCTTCATTTCCGCTGGAACGTTCCAGTAAATTATGCCTGCACAGTTTCGGGAAATTCGTCGCCGCATCCGTTTTGTTACTTTTTTCCTCTTTTGCCGTGGGCGCTAAGCTTCGAGGCGCGTCTGATAAGGGTGGGCCTCTCCGTTTCGTGCTCCCATTTGCGATGTCTTTTTTCTTTTGTGCCCTTTGCTCTCTCCGTTCCACTGCGCGGGCGCCTGCCTAATTTGCTGTGCCTTACTTTCGTCCTTCGAAACCGATATGATGAAGTGATTATCGACCGTGAACATGCATTTGTTTATGACGTCGTTGTGTGCATCTCCTGCGGGGGGGGGCGGTTAGGCGCTGATGTAGCTACTGGGTGATGTAGATACTCGGTGATGCGGCTAATCGGTCATTCGGCTAATCGGTCATTCGGCTAATCGGTGATGCGACTTCGCAATCGTGAAAATTGCCGAGGGGATCATACCGATATAGAGACACGTGCACGTCTTGAATTCGTACAGCCGGAGCTTGCAGTCGTCGGAGCCTGTGTGTGTGGAGGGGTGCGCAGATGGGTGAACAGATGGATAGGAGTTTGTTCCGCAGGCGGAGATGCCAGCGCAGAGAAAGGGGGAGGATGATATATGTCTATATAGGCGATCCTATCTCTGTTCCCACTCGTGCAGCCGCGGACGTACCCGTTATGAAGTACGTCCCCGTGTCGTCCATGTCAACCGTGAGGACATTGTGGAAGGGGGAATAGTAAAAATGCTTGCTGATCTCGTTCTTTATCAAATCGTAGTACATAAAAATGTTGTTATTTCCGCAGCAGAGCAGGATGTCGTATTTTTTGTTCAGGCAAATTTGCCTATATCTGGCGTTGATCCTGTCTATTATTTTCTTCACAAGTGTGTTTTCGTCGATGTTGTAAAGGGTTATGAGTCCATCTTCGCTGCAGCTGCAGATCTGGGGGTCGAAAAAAGGGGGGGAGGAAGGGATGCGGAACATGTGGCTTAATCTGAGCAGTGGGGAGATGGAAAAAAAAAGGAAAGCTTTATCACGGTGCAGCAACGCTCGCCATTCAGTCAGGCAGCCAGACGCATGGGCACTTCTTCGATGCATGGCTCCATGACGACGCTGCTGCGCAGTTACGTATTTGTCCCCGTAGAGGATGATCCGGTTGATGGGCATGGAGTGGTAATTCAAAGTGTTAACATTGACATATTTGCAATCCTGAAATTTCCAAAACTTAATGTCGCCATGATTCCCAGCAGTGATTAAATCATACTGATTGTGAAACAGCAAAACATTACAGTAGTCATAATGGGAGTTTAAAATGACGGTAACAATCTTCATATATTTTGATGTTAATAAGTAAATATTGTTGTGTACAGAGAGAGCAACGTACTTGCCATCCTTCGTAATTTGTATGCTGTGGCATGTCAAGTTTTTATTTATCTTGTCGTATGTGTCCTCATTGTTGTTTTTTTTTTCCAAAGTGTGTGCAACTTGTGCTTCATGCAATTTGTTTATTTTGCATAGCTTCCCTTTTTTCTCTGCTGGTATGTTTAACATTTTCCTATCGTAGTAAATGAATTTTCCCTTTTCTATATTTTTTAAAAAAATAACTTTTTTCTCGTAAAAATTCCAAGCCATTATGTTGTTGTGGCTACAGGTATACATAATGTAGTTGTAATTGAAGGGGAAACATAAATCTCGAATGTAATTGTTCTGGAGTAACATTAGGACATTGTGTGTGTTATTGGTGACGTCCATCACGTATATGACATTTTCGTGGACGCTGATATATAGCGTGGAGTCGTTTCTCATTTCTATGGAGTTAATCGATCCGTACAGCTTCGTTTTTCTCACGATTTTTTTTTCAGCCACGTCTATTAGGCTGACATAGCCGTCTCCGCTTCCTGCACGGAGGGGGGGGGCAGAATTGTTAAAGTGGATTGAGTAGTTTTTTGCTGCGCGAATAGGTGAGGAAAATTTTGTAGTGGTCACTTTGTCATATCGTCATTACGTGTTGGTGCTCCTTTTCCAGCCGTTTGCTACGCTTGGCAACGATGTTACCCCCATCAGGGCGCTCCCTGCCTCACCTGTCAAAATGGTATTATCGCTCAGAATCTTCACCACGTTTATCCCGTTGCTGAAGAGGTAGTTCTCTGGGAGGATCTTCTCGAGCACCTTCGACTTTATGTTCACCACGAGGATGTCGCCTGTGAAGGGGTGGGACGCAAGTCACCATCAAGCTCTCCATTTGGCTAAGCGGCTACTCACTAGCAGGTACACATCCACCGTACACATCAATCGTACACATCGCTCGCACACTTGCGTCGCTGCGACCCACCTGTGGTTGTCCCGAGGTAGGCGTACTCATCGTTTTTCTTCAGCTCGAGACACACAAACTGTCTCTTGTAAATGGAGGTGTTCACCTCCTCCTCGCTCATCAGCTTTTTCGTGAAGTCGTAGTAGCAGATCTTGATGCTGTTAAGTTTGGCTTGGTAAAAAGGGGAAAAATAGAGCAAAAATGATAGGATGGGAATTTGGTCTCAGTTGGGGTTCCTTAATGGAAGAAGGCTTTCCCCCCCTGGTTGCCAACATTGGGGGGCCTAATCGCTGACGCGTCCTTCCCCCCTTTACAGCACAGGAAGGAAGGAACTAACCTATTATAAAATTGTTTGAGTTGTGGAAAAAGGAAACATTCGAGTAGGGATAATCCGAAGAGGATTTGTAAATAAATTTCTGGTTCTCAATTTGAGTCAAAATCAACGTCTTGTCATCCTCCCCACCGGACGAAAGTAAATACTTCCCATCTCTGCTGATGGAAACATCCAGAGTCCTAAACTTGTGAAGAGACAAAATAATCGGATCTCCCTCATTCTCAAAATTGTAAATATATATGTTAGACACTAATTTACTTTCTTTACAGCAGCAGATATACTTTTGACCCCTATCGACATATAACTTGGTGATCTTATTTTTGTTGCTTTTAAAAATGATTCTATGATTATTCACCACGTCCTCTTTTATGATGTTCGTTCCTATGGCATAGATCATGTAGAAGTGGTAACGGAGTTCCTCCTTCTTTAACTCATAGTAATTGTGATTGATGTCTATGCTTTTCAAATTGTAAACGCTTTTCAGTTTTTTTTTTTTTTCATTTTCCCCAATTTCTTCCTCCTCTATTAGTTTTAACTTTTGTTGGTATATTTTTTTGTCTAGTTTTTTTTCATGTCTTATGAGGATCAGGTTGTTGGATATGGCTCCGTTGAACCCGATGTAGGATTCCGCGACGAGTTTCCTCTCCATCGCGGAGGGCTTCTTTGGTTTGGAAATGGGTAAGTCGGCAGCTGCGTCACCTTGTAACCGCCTCACTTTGCAACCGCTTCACTATGCAGGTGAGTGAAGGGGGGCACTTGAAGCGGAGGAGGGAGAACCCTTGCGCGGGGTAATTTCGGAGATCCACAACCGCTCAGGCCTTATCTCGGTGGGAGTGTTTCCCGTGCCTGTTTCAACCGAAAAGGAAAAAAAAAAAAAAAAGATCCTATTTATGTCGGAGTAAACAGGTTCACATTACCCCGTGTAGATATATTTACACTTTGACGTAAGCACCTGGGGGTGCCTCAGAACATTCACCTGTCCAAGTGCTCCTCTTAAATTTTAATGTCACTTGCGGAGTAGACAAAATATGCACTCGAGTATCCGTATGGTTACTACAGTGCCTCTATTTTCCAATACGTGTTGTCCCCGCTGAGGAGGAACCTTACCGCGCTCACAAAGGCAGGAAAAAAAAAAATAAATAAATAAAAAAAAAAGGAAAAAAAAAAAGATAAAAATGGTCCTAACTTCTCATTGCGCCTATGTCGATATGTGTAATGTCTCACAAAATTATCTTTTACAAAATGTGCACTTTTGGGTGTATCCTCCCGGGTGAGCATAGAAGCAAAATAGTGTAGGTGCTTCTTTGGAGACTAAGGGGGTGGACTGCTGGCGTTAAAAAGTGAATGCTTCTGGGGGGAGTGCGCAATGTGGTGAATCTTCTGCACATCGAAATGCTGCACATGCCGTGGGGAAGTGATCCATGCGATTTTTTATTTTCTCCGTTTCGTTTTGTCACATCTGATACGACGAGTCACGTGTGAATCCCATCCCCCGCGCTGTCCACCTTTTGTGCACCCGAGGTGTAGAAGATGGGATGGCTAGAAGGGGTTTGCACACCAGGGAAAAAAAAAAAAATAAAAAAGAAAAAAAAGGAAGAATCTCTGAAGGGAGTGCAAAAAAAAGGAGCCAAAGGACCTATTATGTGAAAAAAAAAGGCGCAATCAAGAGAGAGACAGTTACAGCAGGGGAGCGAAGTAGAAGAACACCAAACGAAATAACGAACAAAATTGAGAGGGAAATGTTAATTTAGCTTTTTCACCCAGTAGACGCGCTGAAAAATAGCGAGACGACCTCGGCACATCTGGCGAGTGGGGAAAGGGCGTAAAAAAAAGAGAAAAAACAAAAAAAAAGGACATAAGTCCAAGGAGGTTAACAGTCTAGTGGATGTTCTTCTGCGCCTTTGTTTACTTCCTCCCTTTGTTTATTTCTCCCCTCTGTTTACTTCTCCCCTTTCTTTACTTCGCCTTTCTTTTTCTAGAGCAATCTGTTCACAGTGCTTACTCCCCAACAGAAAATGAACAACGAAATCACGAAAAGCTTGTTTCCATATGAAGCTAAATTCTTTAAGGGCATTTTTGACAAGTATATAAAAAATGAAGACTACAGCGAGGAGCTAAAGGTGGTTAGGAGCTCCAAGAATTTAATGGAGGAAGTTATTAGCAAAGAAAACGGATTAAACTTTTATTTGGACGAACACTGTGATGACACATTTTTGCAACAATGCAAGTTAGAGTTTTTTCGAAAAATGCTGAAGTATGTTTATGGAAGGAAAGAGAAAAATGTGACTCATGGGGGATGTTCTTCCGATGTGGGAGGGACGGGGCAGAGCGTAGACACGGTTGGTGAGGAGCAGGGAAAACATGTTAGTGAAGGAATCGGCAATGTAAAGGAGCTGCCAGACTATTTCGTCTTTAACAAAAAAATTAACGTCATAAATAGTTATCGGATTTACAGTTACTGCTCAAACATCATTCAATCCCTTCCGTCGCTCACCTACTTTTCTGTTGTGAAGATATACTTGGCGAACTACCCGTTGAGTGTCTTTTTGTCTTGTGTTTACTTCTACACGTTTGTTACGTACGTGTGTGACGGGGAAAACCTGATAGGTGAGCCCCCGCGTGGTGGGGCCACCGCTGTGCGGAATTGCGACGCGGCATTGCTATTGGGATTTTGTGTGCGGCTGTGTTATGTGGTCTTACTCCATGACTGACTTCTTCATCCACTTCTTCGTCAACTTCTTCGCCCCCCCCCCTTGCAGAATTCCTCGAGTCGCTGTTCTTCTCCCTCATCGTGACCATCGGCTGCGTGGCCTTGACCGCCGTGCACTACGCGAAGGAAAATAGAATAAACTCGATTATGTCCAAGATGAACAACTTTAAAGAGAATTACATATGTCGGAATTTTATAAAAAATGAAGCGAAGAGCGAAGCGAAGTTTGGTAAGTTTGAAAGCAGAAAGACGATCGAAATGAAAAAGTATTCCAAGTATTTCTTCCTAAAGAGTTTTCTGAACAGAATAAATGCGGAGCTGTTTGACTACGAGGTGTTCAAGGGGGACAAGCACTCCAGTTATGTGCAGGAAAATTTTAAGGAAATTATCCCCCTGGTGCATTCTCCTGATAATTCTGAAGGAGATGCGAAGCAAGGGGGTGAGGTAGCACCAAATCGGCAAAGTTTTGGGGGCAAAAGTGCGAACACACCCAGAGTCAGCGGGGAGGGGGTATTACCAGACAGGAGAAGTAAGACGGGGTCGAAGTTGCTATCCAGTGAAGAGCAACAGGATGGAAATGTAGAGATGCAGGATGAGCAAAGAAATTCCAAAGGAACTGCCAAGAAGAAGGTTCTCCTATGTAACGAATCAGATGGGGAAAACAACCCCAGTGGAGACATTCTTCAGAAGGTAGACAAAAGTGAAGAGGGTAGAAGGAACTCCATCGAAATGGCAAAGGAGAAAAAAAGAAACTTAATAAACTACATAATATTTGAAAACAATATATACAAAATTAACAGTAAGAACATTTTAGTAGGTGACATTGTATACCTCTTCAAAGGGGACGTGATTCCAGCAGATGGGATCCTCCTCAAAAGTAACAACATGGTTGTAGATGAGTCAGGCATTTTAAAATCAGAAAAAACATGGAAGAAGAAAATTAGCCTTGATGAATATATGTACTACTATGAGAAATCTAAAAAGAGGAAGATCAGCGTTAACGAGTTAAGGAAAAAGAAACTGAATTATTTCGAAATACTCAATTTGAAGGTCAAGATGACATTAAAAAGGTTTAGTAGAGAGGAGAGAAGCCCAAATGTACCAATGACAAAGGGGGAACATAGTACTGATGAGACTCCAGATGCTTCGCAGAACAAAATGGAAAAATTAAGTGAATGTGGAAATGAAAAAGCGGGAGAAATTAGACGTAGCATAAATGACAGATTAGTTACAAATTTTGAAAAACTATTTGAATACTCTCCTCTTGTCCTGTCCGAATCGACAGTACGAGACGGAACAGGAATCATGCTAACCACCTGCGTTAGTAAAAATAAGCAGATGTTCCAAAATACAATCAAAGACATGGAGGAGAGTACCGAACTGGAAGACATCATAAATAGCTTTTCAAAAAATGTCGTCATTATAATAATTTTTTATTGCATCTTATGCATTCTCTTCATATTTATTCACTTCTTAATTAACTTGGTGGAGAATAATATGCAGACATTTGCTTACAATTTGCTGATGTTTCTGCTTAACTGTATCATTTTGGAGATCCTAAAGTACCTTTTGTTGTCCATTGACCAGATGCCTCTGTTGCTGCAAAACTGCATAGCGATAAATTCGAGGCAAATAATGCGGGAAAATTTTATCCTAAAGAAAAAAAATACTTTCGAGAAAATTCTTTTCACTAACATGATTTATGTAGACTTGGAGAGGTACACAAAGTACAGGTGTGTGTACTTTTTTTGCAATTCGGATATATGCTTTTCCACCGTCTGGGATGGAGAAGGAGATCTGGGAGTAGAGCAAAAATTCGTTAACTTGGCTAAGGACAAGGGCAAGAAAGAAGCAATATGGAGGAGCCTCTTTTTTAAGATTCTCGTTCAGGGCATCCTCACCACCAGCAACTTGTACCATTACAATGAAAACTTTCTGTACATAGATTTGTCCCTCTTAAAATTCTTGAAGGGATTCGAAATAAAGCTGGAAGATTATTTCATCCCCAAGAAGCGCTTATTTCGTGTTATATCTGCTGGGAAGGATTTTGTCATCGCGTTTGTCTTGTCGAAGGAAGAGGCTCTGGGCCAGAAGGGACTCGGTGCGCAAGGCGGGGGGCCCCCCAGCGTGCTGCGCATATTCTTCAGGGGCCGCGCCAGCCTGGTCCTCCCCAAGTGCAGCCAGTACCTGGACGGCGACGCGCTGCGCAGGTTAGCTCGCACGGGAGCGGCAGCATGAGGGTGTGCGGTGAAGGGGCGAAGTGGCACGTCATGATACACAGCACCTCTCCACGTGTACATTTCAACAGGTCTACACTTCAATACGTGTAAACTTCAACACCTCTTCCCTTCTACACTTCCTCACTTCTATACACTTCCCTCCCCCCAGCGACATCGCTCAGCTTAAGGAAAAAGTCCAAAAGGTGCAGCAGCAGAAGAAGGAAGAAGTGATATGCTTCGCATACAAAGAAATAGCGCTGGGCGAGAAGGAGAAGGAGGAGCTCTTCCAGTACGAAGACGACAACGACTACACGTTTGATAACAAAGAGATGAATAAGAACATCGAGGAAACTTACCTCAAGTATGTAGAACAGAATGACTACACGTGTGTGTCCATCTTGGTTTTCGAAAAAATGCTGACGAAACATTTCTATTTCGATTACAAAATGTTGGAAGCCAACGGCATGAGCGTGAAGGTCTTCACCAAGGACAGCATGTCCAAGGTGAAGAAGCTGTTTTGCGACTTCCCCCATTTTTTTGAAAATTTAAAGCTGTACAATGCAAAGCTGGTGGGCGAAGAGGAAGCGCTAGATTTGCACTACCAAAATGATGGGGACAGGTTTGTTAGCCATCCCCAGGGGGGGGACAAGAAAAGCGCAAAATTGAATCCCCAGGGCATGGAACAGAAGAAGTGGGACCGAAATGCATACAATGAGACAACCCCTGCGGAGGGAACAAACCTGGGTAATTACACCCTGAAAAAGGGAAATAACAAATCTTTGGCGCCAAACAAGTGCAGAAGTGAAATTTTAAATTTGAAAGAGTGTGATGATAATGTGATGATAAATATGACTAGCCAAAATGAAGCGCGAAAGAAGAAGCACGACTTCCTCCTAAGTAACAACATTTTTTACAACTGCGAGAATACGGAGTTATCACGTCTGTTGACCATCTCGAATTATTACGGGAAGAATGCACTCGCGACCAATGAAAGCAGTGTAGACTGCGAAGAGGGGACGTACAGCCTACGAATATGCGACAACAGGGGTAGAGGAGAAAGTAAAGAAAAAAGCGACATTGTTATTTTGGATAGAAGTCTCTACGATTTTGTAAAATTGAAAAACTTCTCAAACTGTATTCTCACCAATATACAGCTATTCATAGAGTATAATATCACCTTGTATGTCTGCCTTATCATTTTCTCAACCGTTTGCACCTTGGTAAATGGGTTAGAATTTTTAAATACGATACAAATACTGTACATATATTTTGTGAAGAACGTCATTTTTCACTACTTATCTTGTTATCGAAAAAGTCCCATAAGTACCGTCGGGAAGAAGAAAAAACAAACCTACGACTTTTTTAAGGAAAATGACATAAACAGTATGATTTGCTCTATTCTATCCAAAACGATCATTCTCTTTTTGGTATTTTTCCTTGGACATGTATTCATTCCTGAGTCTAAATGGGATTTTGTGACCCCAGAATTGAGGAACTTGTTTGAATTTTCCGAGTTCGCATATCTTACGGATAGGCAGCAGTCCAGCTACTTTTACACCATACGGTCTTGTATTCGTTTTAAAAAGAATTTAGAAAATTTGAAAATACAAGCCGTCATTGATGTTAAGAATGATTACAGATCGATGGCTGAATGGGACACCTATATCAGTCCGGGTAGACATGGCACCATTCTGTTTAACATCTTTTTTCTCTTTTTCTTTTTCTCCTATATTCATATTTATTTGAAGTCTTTTTTGCGGGACATACACATATATTTGGAAATGTACAAGGGGGAACAGGCTAACCGATTTAGCAACTACATCATCCCTTTAGTGGGTAGCGAACGGGAGGGTAAGAAGGACCTCTCCGCAGAAGTTCGACACTTTATGGAGGAGCTGAAGGAGGAGAGACGATCTACTAGTTTGGTTAACACGAAAAATGTGAAGAATTGTGGAAAGGGACCAAATAACCAATTTGAAAATGGTGAAGCGGGGAAGAATGCAAGTCGAAAGATACCACACACGGAGGAAGCACACGAAGGGGAGAAGAAGTTTTCCTTCCTCCAAATAGCTAGTCAAATAATCTCTAAATCAGGCTTACCCAATGACAATTTTTATGTGATGTTACTGAACCTTGTTTGGGAAAATTACATGACATTCATAATTTTTTTTTTTCTGCTGGCGGCACACATTTTTGTCATTGAGTTCGGCTCATTCTTCTTTAACTTACACGTGACGGGGTTGACTCTATTGCAGTGGGTATTCTGTTTCGCCTGTTGTCTCCTCGACTTGGTTCTTTATTTTGTTACTTTGCGCCTCGGCCTGTTTCTCCTGCCCGCCAGTTCTTTTAAAACCTTCCAGAATTTGTATGAGCCGCGGGAAAGGACCGTGTAAGTGGATAGCCTTCGGCGTTTGCTCCCGGAAAAGAGGGGGTTACCATCTTACCAGTGATCTGTTACGCAGTAGCATTTGGACGAACATGTGACTGTGCCAACGGATTCACCACAACCACTTCCACAGCCACTGCCGATTTTTCCGGGAAGAAAGTGAAGGTGATTCTTTCTACAATCACCCTTTCTTCAAATTTTTTTCTTTCTTGCAGATTTGAAACCCTGAATGATTACAAGCGGAGTTACATGTCCAAGCGATATAAGTACGACCTGAAGGTGTAAGTAACCATTTCGCTGGAACGTCTCCGAGGCAGGGGACAGGCGGCATATGCTTCGTTTTCGCGTTTCGCACCATTTCGGTGTGTTTTTTTTTTTGTCTCCTTTTTTTTATTTTTTTTTTCATCACTTCGCTTTTTTCTTCCCCGTAGGACACGCAAAAGTTGGGTATGAGAGGCAGAACCATCACAAAAAAAGAAGAGTCGCTTATTCGTCTGCACGTACAATTTGGTGTTCCCTTTTTTTTTTTTTCCTATTCGAAACGACCAATTGGTTTGTCTCTGGGGAAAAAAACTATCGTGTGAGTTTTTTCTATCCATGTGTGCCACGCGCGTGTTTTATATATGCACATGTTTTTTGCTCTTACAGTTGGTTACGCTAAGCATTTCGCTTCGCACTTTGCTGAAAAGTGAGTGACACAACAAACGTGGGAACCTAGGTGAAAATAAAAAAAATTTAAAAATGAAAGGTAACTGTAACAAACGTTTTTCACATGGGGTGCCAAAAAGCCGGTGTATCCACCTGGTGTCACTTCCTCTTTTTCTTTTTGAGCAACACGACGTCCGAAAAAGGGGAGGCGTAAACAAGAAGGGGGGAAATAAACTGACAAATGTTAGAACAAAAAAAAAAATATGAGCACCCAAATGTTAGGTGTCACCAAAGCGGCCACACATCTTTTCACTCCCTCAAGGAAGTGAGTGGCTTGTTCTTTCGAACGGAGTTGATAAATTTTTTAATTTCTATATTGTAGAGATTTACGTAGCTGTTGTAATTCTTGTATGATTTCCTTCCCAGGCAATTCAGGGAAACATTATTTTTATTTTTCTGCGCCGCCTGCTTCTTCAAAAAGGCATTTCCATCCTCTTCGTACTCCTTCAGTATCCACACATGCTCATCATTGGCGTACTTAACTTTTTTCTTTATTCCCTCTTTATCATTTACATTTTTTTTCATAAAGCTTAGGGAGGTTACAAATTTTGAGAATTTCACATTTTCCTTCGTCCTGTTTGATGGATTGTGTTTTTTGTCTTCCATGATTTGGCACGTGTGCGTCGTGGAGACTGTGGCTCTGCATGGCAAGGCTTCACTTTGGTTCCACCTGCCGTGGGGGGTGCAAACTTTACACGATTGCAATTTGTGTCGCGTTCCCGTCTTGGCTGCTTCACTTCTTCCCTTCTTCGCTGGTGCGAGTTCTCTGTGTTGCGTGTCCGTCCCTATTCAGAGATTGTACAAGCGGCGGCCGCAATTACGTGGTAGCATGTTTCGTTTTTCATTACCAGCTCGACAAGTAGGCTGCAACTGAGAGTGTTGGGTGCCCAGGTATATACTATTCTGTGCGCGGCAATTTTGCGGAAATTTTGCGGCAAATTCGGGACAATTTTTTCCCTTCCAAGTGCGCGGGTGATGAATTATGCTCCTCTACATTTAACCATTTATTTTTTTGTTTTTCCGCCTGCCGGGTTGGGATGATTAAGCGCGTTCGTCTCCGTTCAAAGATTACTCCCACATTTTTCATTCCTCTCGCTCAGTTTAGGATAACATTATTTTTTTTTTTTTTAACTTCACCATTCGCAGAGCGTTGTAGCTCAGTGTGGCAGCCTTGACGCTTCCACCATCGGAGGGAGGAAAAAAAAAAAAATGGAGCACCGCTTGCCGTCGTTCCGAGTCCGTTCCGCATTTGGCAGTTTTCCAAAAATATGCCAGCATTTTTTTCTTCCCCCATTTGTATCACCACATAAAAATAACGCAGATAACACTTTCGTGTGTGGTGAATATCCGTTGGGCTGGCAACTTTTACATCATTGAAAAGGTTTGCCAATTTTGTTGAGGCCCTCAGAAAAAGGAAAAAAAAAAAAGGTAAGCAATTCTATGCAATTACAAATGGAGTCAAAAAAAAAAAAAAAAAAAAGGTCCTTTTCTGGCAAGGGAGACGCACATATAGGTATACTCTCCCTATGTGCACTCGCATTGGGCGCCGCCCCCGTGCTACCTTATATGATGTTCTTCTGGAAAGCCTTATTCATGTTGGCTAGGAGAAGCGATCGGGGGTCCAGGATTTCCCTTCCTTTGGTAGATTCGTTATTCTTCCGAGTAGCCAGATTTCCACGACGGACAAGTGGCATGGCGTTCTGTGTACCCGTAGGGGCATCATCTAGCGCAGCATATTTTAAGAGCGTCGTTTTTTTTTTTCTATCCCTAGGGGATTATATGGGGGAGCAAAAACATGCACCCAGGTATATATGGCCATGCGGAAATATTGCCTATGTAGTTATGCTCACATGTGGGAACAGACGGGAAGCAAATATGTAGACGCCGATGAGGTCCTCGCACGAAGGTACCTTTTCTTTGGGAGCACATCCATGGGGACTAGAGGCATCAAGGAATCACGAACGCACTTGAAGGAATACTGAAACCGCTCGTTGCTGTAGTCCTGCGAGGGGAATGCAGACAAAGGTTCGAAATTGTGTGCCGTAAATATATTCTTACGGCGTAGTTAAAATAAGCGAAAATGAAAAAAATCGTAAAAAAAAAAAAAAACAGCAAAAGAAACAGCAAAAGAAACAACAAAAGAAACAACAAAAGAAACAACAAAAGAAACACCGAAAAAAACACCGAAAAAAACACCAGAAAAAACACCAGAAAAAACACCAAAAAAAACTCATAGTGAAGGATACATTTGTGCCAAGCGGCCATATTTTTGAACTACCAAGGGGTTAAACTCGTCCACCAAAATTAAAAAGTTAAATATTTCCTTTATCTTTGCGTCTGAGAGGTGCTCATTTTTTTCTTCAACGTGTTCTTTGTAAAATTCCTCGATTGACAGGGAATACGTTTCTTGGGTAGCTAATCCCTTCGTTGAGTTAATGTGGTGAGAGGAGGTATTCGTTTAAATGAGACGCAAGCGTCAGACACACAGGTTGCATGGGCAATGAAATAGTTGACGACAGGTCTTACGTGCAAACATAGGGCCACAGTCGCCTCCGCCTTTGTCATTGGAGTCCCAACCCATAAGAATCGAACCTCTTTCTCGCTTCCCGGGAGGGGGGGGAAAAAGAAAAGAAAAATAAAATAACAGTAAGACGAAATAGTAATACTAGCTGTGTAACCTGGTAGAACAGATGGCTAGCCACTTCACATGGACCGGCTGCACGCACAGCTCGTCTCCCTTTACTGCGTTTTTAAATCCGTCGGGTTTATGTTCGATCTCAGGATGATAACTTGTTCCTGTAGTTTTGCATCACACGGGAGGGGGGATATGTACACTTGGGGGAGGAGAATGGTAACCCCATCACGGCAGTTAGTATTTTCCCATACCGCTGGAGAACTTTTTCGTCATTTTTTTTTTTTTTTTTTCTTTTTCCAACTCCTTCCATTTCTTACATTTTCGTGGAGTTCCCTCGATAGGCGTTCCAGCGAAACTAAATTTTCTCCAGCCCCAGGTGTGTCGCTTAAAAATATGGGTATCCCATATATCTGAGGGGGAGTATAAAAGGTGAAGCGGCTTGAACGTTGGGACCCGGTTAGGGAGGAGTGCCGCTCATATAGACATGTTCACAAAGGCATGCATATCCATGTGGAATCATCTCCTGGGTGGTCCCCCTCTGTTGAGTATATTTTAAACGTCACATTAGCATATTGGCTCATTTGCCCATTGGCTTAGGCACCCAACTGACGCTTTAAAGCGCTGAGGCATGTGCGTAAATTTAACCAAGTGTTGTGAGATGCCATCCTTTAGCGCCTTTGCCCGTATGTCAAACGCAATGGGGAATTTGCTCAGGCCGACGAAGGCAGAGCGTCCCACTTCTGCCACCAGGGGTCTTCCCTCACACTTCAGTACGAGCTGCGAATGTTGGTGAGTTTAACGGTGGGGAAAATTACGGCTCTTCTCTGCTTCGCTCCAGAGTCTCTTTCTCGTTGAGATAGCCCCCCTCCCGCCAATCCCCTCATATGCATTATTCTTCCAACCTTATTCTGTAAGCTCAGGGTGAACGAAACAACAAACGTGATAGATAGTATCTCCTTTGACACTTGCAAAATATCTATTTTATTCAATTTGACATTTTTGACGAAGAAGTTTGGATACTCCCCCAACGCACGGCTCAGCTGAGGTAGTTTGTTCTTTCCGTCTTCTGCGCTTTTATGTACTAACATGAGAGGAGTGGGGGGTGAAAAATACAGAGACGTGTAGGTCAATATATACACTTGTGTGTGTACTCATTCTACATGGAGTGGTGAAGGCCATCTTGCTCGGTTGCCCCCTTATTTTTTTCCCAAAGAGGGTAAACTTCCTCCTTTTTGTGCATAGCTATATAACCATTGAAGAGGTAAAATTTACACATGCTGGTTTGGAATGCATCCGCGAGAAGTGTCAGTTCGGGAACTCTGTCCTCCCATAGGTGAATATTGCAGGATAAAATGGCGACTTTGTCGCACTCCTTAATTGTTTCCCTGTCTGAGGTTGGTACGGGGCCGAATAGCGCGCGAGTGTAGGTGGTGGCGTAGGCGGATACGCAAGGGCATTGGGCAGGTAGATGTACCATTTTTATAAAGTACACTTGGCGAAAATGGAAAAATGGAAAAATGCAAATATGTATTCGAGCCAAAATGATGCCTCCATGTGGACACCTACTTTCACTGTTCCTCAAGAAGGCTATCAGGGGATCCACTGCCATTTCATTGCCCTGTCTGGAATTCTTTTCACTTAAATCAAAATGAGGAGATATATTTTCCAATGCCCTTTTCACATTTTCGTAGTCGAACGGGTCAGAGAAGGTTAGCACGTCGATGTAGTCAATGAGGTCTACAAAATGGGGGAGAAAAAAAATAAAAAAAAAAAAAAAGAGAAAAGTTGAATCATCCTAGACCTCTTTACAAGTTGACCCGCAATGGAAGTCACGCCTTTGCATCGTTTCGATTCACAAGTTCGGTTGAAACGTGTCCGCTTGGCGTTGACCCCCAATCGCTGCTATGGCAACTGCCAGTTTTCCTCTATACTTATGCACACGAGCCATAGTTGAATGCCCCTCTGACTGCTATTATTGAGCAAATCCTGCAAGGAGTAGGCCCAATATTTGAACAAGTATTTTTTCTCCCTCGAGTTGAACATGCAAAAGCGTGTGTCACATATGTAGAGAAGTTTCATTGGGGAAGCGCTATCTTTTCGGGGGATGTCAGTAGCAGAAAAGAAGGGCGTTCAAGGGGGACAAGTTTGTTCAGCTCAGCACGCAGTGACGCGACGAAAAAAAAATTATCATTTCGGTTGAAGCAAAAAATGTGACTGTTTCGCGTCCATTAGGGGAAAAACGGAGGGAATAAATCAGGCCTCGTGAGTGGACCGAAAAGGTTTCTTATGCATTGACGCCGCGGGGTATCAACACGGGGATGCAAAGGGAAATAGCGTCGCTCAGGGGGATGCAAAAATTAATGTGTACACATGAGTATGTAAAAAAAAAAAAAAAAGAAAAAAGCATCTACATGCGAACTAACACTTGTCGCATATTTTTTTTCTTCTTTAATTTCCTTCTCGTGGGGAGAACAACTCGTTAGTTGATTTTGTTGTATAGTTCGTCCAAGGCGGATTTAGTCATTTTGTCTTTGAAGTGGTTATACACGGTTTTGCCTACAAAGTGGGGAACAATTTTGAGTAAGTGAAATGTGCCCAAGCATACACATATAGGTACATGCCTATATGTATGCACACACACACAAAAGAAAAAAAAAAAAAAAAAATCTCTATATGTCGTTTTCCTGTCCGAATGCCCCATTCGAACATCCCCGTGCGGGGAAACCATCCACGAGTGAAGCACCGCCAATGTTCCCTTTAAACGGAAATATCGTGACAACATAGCAATTCACACAGAATGGAGACGTTGCGCGCTTCTGTTCTTACTTATAACTGTGAACTTCTCCTTCTGTAAGAATTCGTCAAATTCGTTCAGCGGAATGCGGGTGATAAATTCGACTTCATTCATCTGGGGGGTGGTCTCGAAATCGGGGTCGATGAATACAACCTGTAGGAAACAGAGGAGGGAGGGGGTGATGGCGCGAAAAAGTGAGGCATGGGGAACTAGGGACAGAGTAAAATTGTCGCTTGAGCACGAGCAAATGCGAAGAAGCCGCAACCATCGAATGATATGGTTCCCTAAAAGTGACACTTACGTAGCAACCCATGAAGGCCCTGGAGCATTCTGTGTCGCACTTGGCCACACCCAAATGGTAAAGTTGTTCGGGAGACTTCTTTATCCCGCTTTCTTCTTCCAATTCCTTTACAGCATTGCTAAGCATATCTTCATTTTCTGCAACGACTCCACCGAAACCAATGGAGTAGTATGATGGGCAGTAGTCCTTTATCTTGGATCTTTTGTGTACATAAATAAAATACTCCTGATCGATTTGGGTGAAGACAAAAATGGATGTAGCTCGGTGCCACAAATTCTCCGTCCGCATAATTTTTCTCGCTTTCAATTCTTGGAACTCATTATTTTCATTTACAATGATCACCCGCTCGTCCTTATTGTCCTCGAAATTGGAGTTAATGATATCTTTCATGTTAGCGTCTTCTTCTGTGGTAATGGTACACGTGGTGAAATTGCTGGTGGGGTCGTTCGAGCTGCTGCAGGGGCACGGGGTTGTGTACAGTCGCGAAAGAGTACACAGGAATAGGAGGGCAAGGGAGAGGAAGCACGCCAGGATGTGCATAATTGGAGAGGGTGGAGATTCGGAGACGGCTGGAAGGAACTGCGTGGAGGGATGCAAGTACGTCAAGGAGTGAGACTCCCTAGGGGTGGATTCAACTTCACAGGAGAAGTCTGTACAGATGCCCAGGGGGGGGAGCTTCCAAACTGGGACGACCTTCCAGTAACACCTTGGTAAGTAATTCCTCACCCACTGGGCCTTCACAATTTTTTACAATAAATGAAATACACCTTAAGTTGGTAGAACATCGGGGGGGGTACATAAAAGAGTGTTATGCTATGCGTATTGGCTTAAATAGTTGGTGTGGGGGCAGAATCTGCTTGGATGTTTCTAAAATGGGAGAAAAATAGGATAGATATAAAGGCGGAAGAAAGAAAATATTCTTTGCGATGTTTTCATCCAAATGAGACCCACTTTGGTTAGGAGTTTTTAAAATGGGAGAAAAATAGGATCAATATAAGGCGGAGGAAGAAAATATTCTTTGTGATGTTTTTATCGAAATGACTCAGTGGCGATACATTTTTGAGAAATTGTTTTTTGAGCTCAAGTGCGACGACGCGTGAAGCGTTATCGTGGCAAAAAATGAAGGGGGCGCGATATACGATCCTCGCGGGTGAAAGTTGTTACCACGACGGGGCCCGGGCGGTAGCACAAAATAGGGGGGGACAAACACTGCGGGGTGATATTCGCGTGGTCGCCTAATGTGGCCTTAATTATCGTATTCAAATTCGCGCAGTCGGATTTACGCGACCGCTCCTCTGCCCAGTCGCTTCTGCGGGGCAGTTTCGCGGTAAAATGGGGGGCGAATTTTGTACCGTTAAAGTTAAACTACATGCGCGCGGGGCCTGAGTTTGGATATTCGCCGACAGCGCGAAGAAGTAAAGAAATGAAAGAATGAGCAGTGAAAAAATGAAAATATAACTCAATGAAGCAGCGAAATAGCAACGCGGTGATGTACCGATGCAGCGATGTAGCGAGAAATAAAAGGTGGGCAAAAAACAGATCCTTAAATAGAAAGAAATTCTGGTGCGCTGGCAGGTTTGCCTGGCGTGGCCTGATGGGGGTTCCCCCCTCCCCCCCATTTAGCGCCTTGCGCGTCAACGCCATTTCACTGCCACCTCTCCACGGCCGCTTTTTCTCTTTTTCGCTTCTTCTCCTTTTCGCTTTTTCGCTACTTGTTCCCGTCGGGGGCTTGATCCCCCTTGGCAGCTTTTTCCGAGGCGTCGGGGGCCTTGTTTTTAGTGCCTGCCAAATTTTTCGGGTTGACCTTGGAACTTATGATGGACATGTTCTTGGACTTCCCGTCGGGGATTTTAATCAGAAGAAGGTGGCTGTTGACGACCTTGTCGACAATGAAGTATCCCCTTCTTTCGAACTGAAATTTGTCCGACACCTTTAGGGAGGTAATGGCTGGTTCGGAGTACACCACTGTCTCGTACTTGCTACTGGGGTTGATAAATTTCGTCCAATCTTCCTTATTGTCGTTTTCAAATTTGTCGACGGTAATTAAGTGGTCATATTCGTAAAGCGTACAGGTGATTAATTTTTCGGGTATGTATGGCAACCAGTGGATTTTTTTCTTTGTCGTTTTGAAGTCTCCATCGAAATTGGACGTGGCAATGACTTCCTTAATATCTGGGGCGTTTGTTGCATGATCGTCCCCTTTCACAATACTAGTGATGATCACATTTCCCAGTTTGATTAGGGTAATTTCTTCCTGCTCTGCCAACGTTTGCGCATCTTCCAATTCGATAAACAAACGGTTGGTATAAAACATGGAGCACGTGCCAAGGGATTTATTTTTCATGTGTAGGTCTCTTGTTTTTTCAACAATGTCTTCCGTCAAGTCAGTTAATTTAAGAATGACTCCTTTTTTTTTATCAACTGCTGCGAATCGGGGGATGATTGGGTCGATTATCTGTTTGTTGATGGACCAGAGTTTATCCCATTGCATGAGATTTCCCGATTTGGAAGGTCCCTGTTCTAGAATAAATTGGAACAAGGCTTCTTTTGTTAATCCTCTTCTGAGGATCCCCTTGATAGTGGGCATACGTGGATCTAGCCAGCCATCCACTAGCTTATTTTCAACAAACCATTTTAACTTCCTCTTCGACATAACCGTTTTAACAAATGAGATTCGACTGAATTCGTAAATGTAGACTTTTCTTAACTGTAAGGTGGTGATAAACCAGTTGTATTGTTCTATCCTGTCGCTATATTCGTTTGTCCTCAATGCGTGTGTTACTCCTTCAATGGAGTCTATTATTGGGCATGCAAAATCGTAGGTGGGATAGCACTTAAACTTGAACCCGTGTCTGTGGTGAGGTGTATCTACTATGCACCTGTATAATACGGGATCTCTCATGCATTTGTTCTTACTCTGCATGTCTATTTTTGCTCGGATGCAATTTTTCTGTCCTATTTCAGACCCCTTACGCATTTCTTCAAACAATTGTAGATTCTGCTCCACCGAGTTTTGTCTATTTATAGATTCGATTCCTTCTCCTCTTTGGTTCCTCATTTCTTCTACATTGGTGTCATCCGCGTAAGCCTTATCCATTTTGATTAACTTAATGCAGTACTCCTCTAAGGTTGCAAAATAGTCCGAAGAGTAGCTAACTTTTTCATACTTTAATCCCAAGTTTTCTAGATCTTCCATGATGGATGTCTCATACTTGATGTCTTCCAAGGCTGGGTTGGTGTCATCAAATCGTAGTAGCATCTTCCCCTCGTACATATTTGCATAGTAACTATTCAGAAAGGCTGCTTTCGCGTGGCCGATGTGTAGGTAGCCTGATGGTTCAGGGGGAAATCTCGTGACTACATTTCCCTTTTCTGCGTTCTCCAATTTGCCAACGTACGAAGTGGATCCGATTTTCTGCTTTAACAATTGCATGGTGTTTGCATCTTTGGTAATATCCACTTGGCTTGTTTCGACTTCCTTCTTCAGCATTGTTGTTAGCTCTCCATCTGGGTAATTCACTAAACAGCTAATTAATTTAAACCACCTGTTAACATTCCTGAACTGCTTCCAGTACTTAACATTGTAACAATTGGACACGTTAAAATATCGGTACATTTCGTAATACACGTACAAATCAGACAGGGTTAAATAGTCTCCACATATGAATGTATTCAGATGGAGGTGTTTATTGAGATAGTCACAGATGATTAGTATTTCCTTCTGCACTTGTTTGTTCCTGAAGTAGTCTAGCCACTCATCGTATTGCGCCTGTACATAGACGTCCGTCTGTTTGTCTTCTTTTTTGTTATTCTCGCAGAAGGAGTGATACAACTTGGTTTGCAATATCTGGTCTAGATTCTTTGCGAATATTTTGTTCGTCGTGTTTATGCAATTGTCTCCCTCTTGCGCTTCTGCCTTGCTCACAAACTGTACCTTTATTTCTTCTACATTTTCGTCCTTCACAAATTTTACCTTTTCGTCTGGCGAGTGGTCACTTCCGGTGGGATTCTCCTTCTGGCGGAGACTCTTGTGCACGTTCAGTATTGTTCTACATAGAAAGGGGTACTTCTTCCCGTAGTAGATGTTGATTTCGTTACTTTCTACCATCTCTTCTTTGCTTTAGTTCATGGGTGGGGGGTGAGGGCCTTCCGATTGTGCAGGCCAGAAAAGGGGGACGGCGATCGCAGCGAACGGGGAAACACGCATTTATCGCGCTGTGCGGACTGGCGTAGAGCTGTTTCGTCGACTGTGGAGTTGGGCCCTCCTTTACTTTGACTATGAAGATGGGCCAGAAATGGTTCCCTGGACAGTCATCACCTTTGGGGCGGACTTCTCGACAGACTTCTCGACAGACTTCTCGACGTACTTTTCGACGAACTTTTGGACGGACTTTTCTTTATTCTTTATAAGTTGTGGGGGGTAAATTTACACACACGGGGAAGTGAATGCATATACCGGTGTGCAAAACGTAGGGGCATGTGTGCGCGCGATGTAGATACGCGTATAAGTTGTTGGGAATCCCCGTGTGGTATTTTCTTGGCACGTTTTTACTTGTGGGCCTTTTTCACTTCAACATCGCTGGGTTAGGGAACCTCGTTATGTTGGAAGATGGCAATTTCGAAGTTGCGCTTTTACCGGGCAAGGTTACGTTGACGATTTTGTCGATGTCGCGGAGATTTGCAAAGGGGTAGTAATCCTAGCAGATGTTCCACTTTCTGTCATACTACCATTTCCTGCGGGCTTGGCTCTCCAGTCGTTTTCTGTTTCTTATTTTTTCGAGGGGTGCGCGGGAAAAATAAAAAAACAAAATGACTGCTCATGAGAATGTTTGAGAAATTTTCATCATCTTATGAACACTTCATTTTTAAACATCCTGTGTATTTCTCATGTAAAAAAAAAGAAAATATAGTTGGGGCCACGATGGTTGTTTTTGCTATTTCGAGGTGGCTCATTTGTTTTTTTATTGGTTTCTTTTTTTTTCTTGTTCGTACTTTTTTTTACATTGCAAATTTCGCGTTCTGTGTTTGACACTTCACTTGGCAGTTCATTTTTCCTTTTGTTACGACTTCAGAAAATCTTCACAAGGTGCATGTGAATATGAACAAAAAAAAAAAAAAGAAAAACGTGTATACCCGATTCATCCCAACATTCACAAATAAATATATACGTTTACATATGCGTCCATATTGAATGATACTGGTAAAAAAAATTATGTTCCTTTATGTTAGTATCCCGCTCGCTTTATACTATATTATACGCGTGGTGATAGAACGTAGTAATTAGCTTGTATCAATTGTTATCATTTAAAAAAGAAAAAAAAATGCTCTCTCACGATAAAAAAACGCACTTGTATTTGTAGTCTTCTGACATGTTGCTACTACGAAAAAATGGCTTAAAAGAGTAGTATCCTCATTTTGTTTTTTTTTTCCAAAGTTCAATGTAGAAGCATTGTAATGCATGCACTGGAACAACCGGTACATAAAAAAGGAAGTATGGGTATACCTGCATATTGCACGCTTCTAAGAAGGAAATGATCGATTTATTGCACAGAAAAAAGAGGAGGGACCGTCTACCTATATAATACTGTCAAAGCACAGATAGCCATTTTTCTAGCCAATGCCTAACACCCTGGGTTTAGGGCTAAATAGAGAGAGAAAAAAAAAAGAGTGATAATTCTTCTTTCCATCTGCTGAACTGTGTTCCTTTCATGGTTGTTTTTTTTTTTTTTTTTTTGAGGTGGAGTTTTACTCTTGTTGCCCAGGCTGGGTTCAAGCCATTCTCCTGCCTCAGCTTCCTGAGCAGCTGGGACTACAGGCATGCGCCACCATGCCCAGCTAATTTTTGTGTTTTTTTTTTTTTTTTGCTCACATACAAAATGTTGCAGTATGAAGAAATGTTTGTGTTGTTACATAACGGGAGATACGCATAAAAGAACAGGTAGAAACGTTTACACTAATTCGAATAGGTGAAGAATCACACAAGTGTAAAATGTGATAGGTGTTTTTTTTTTCTCTCTCTCTTCGGGGGAGGGGGGGGAACAGCTCAGCCTTTGTTTTCCTTTACACCTAAATGAAGAAATCTATATTGTTAGGTATAGGAAAAACAGCGGAAAAAAAAAGAAGCAGTGTTTTCTAAAAAAAAGGATTAAATAAATTAACCTGTATTAATTTGCCTTTTTTTTTTTTTTCTTTTTTCGCGTAATCGTCCGCTTGCCGAACAGCTGTTCATTTTCGTTTCTCTTTGCTCATTTATTCAAAAAAAAAAAAATTCTTCGTTCAGGTGAAAAGCAGCACATCCCGCATGAGCGGTGTAAGCCGAATTTGATCTTCTTCCCTTCAGGTTCTCTTTTTTCTTAAATGTTGCATCATTGCAACAAAGTGTGGGGTCTCTCTACGAAAGCATAGATACATATATGTTCATCTATTTAAAGGTACTAACGCATGAGAAGGGAGGTATCCTTTCTTCTATGACGAAGCTCCAAAGAAAAGAAAATGAACCTAACCCATTTTGGATTATCCTTTAAAAAAAAAAAAAAAAAAACATTGACCCATCAGTCGTAGGGAAAGCTGCACATCACACAAAAGGAGTTTACAACTTGTGGGACGAGACAGGAGGTGCACATTTGATGATTGCCAAAGATGGCAAATTGAATTTTACCTTCCAAGCAGAGTAACGGAATAGGGTTATCTCCTTGTGGGGGTAACAACGATTTGTCGCCTTGTGTCACAATGCGAGGGAGCAGAATGACTCCTTCCCCCTGTCCGGAAGCAGAAATGAGGAGCCCCCCCCCTGAATATGTGCATGCGATATGGGTTTATATAGGGACATGTAAATATGCCTATAATGAGCCAAGTGCTCCCCAAGAATTTAAGTCTACGGGGTTAGTTATAGGGTGTGTACAGTGGGACACCCTGCAGAGAGGAAATTAAAAAAGGAAAAAACAGGGAGGCAAACGTAAAGTGCTTATATAAACACACGTGCGTGCACACGTAGATACATATGTCCATTGAGGTGCATGTACGGGCGGATGCGCGAGGAATGCATTCACAAAATTACCTTCCCCGTTGGGCACATGTCTATTTATAATGCGACATGGTGTGGTTCACTCCGCAGGGATGATTAAGAAAAAAACAAACAAGGAGATAAACAAGGTTCGCTTTTGAGAGCAGATAAACTGGTTCCCCCTCCCCCGTGCCTGGTTACTTCCCATTTGCACGTACCTTTCGCGCAATATATGAGAAGAGAATCATTTCGCTCATTTTCAAGTTTGCAAAAAATTACAGGAGCGCACAGGGGAGAGCGGAGGTGAACAAATGGGAAAAAAAGGAAAAAAGGGAAATTTGAAGGTCACAAAATGAAAAAATATCGAGAAGGGGGGGGTGGGGATTCCCAAGAGATACACGAACGGAATAGCTCAAGGATTTAAACACATTTTGGGGAATGCAAACAAAACATAGCGAATGCAAAAAAAAAAAAAAATGTGATGAGCGAAAGCGTATTTTTCCAAGTGATGACAGTACGGTGTAATTTTTTTTCTTTCTTTTTTTTTTTTCTTCTTTTTTTGTTTTTTTTTTTGTTACAAAAAATTTCCAACATTATTCCGCGTTTTTTGAGAAGCCGTCTTTACTATTTCGGGACAAGAAAAATTGAACCACTATCCTTTTCTATCTGATCAGGTATTTCGATACTCTTTTTTTTTCTTTTATTTTTCATTGGGCATGCCATTGTTTTGTTATGTAACCGGTGATGCGCCGCAGGCATCGCACAAGCATACACATGTTTTGCTTCACCTCGTTAATTTATTACACACCCTTTGTTTGCTTTAAATGTCAGCATGGGCAGCAGGGAATAAAGCGAAGCGTGTGCATATGCAGTACTCATTCCTCTGTGAACATTAAAGGGAATTTTTTTTATTTTGCATCTTGTTGGCGGAAAGGACCAGGCAAATCTTTCTTCCAAGCGAAGCGCTAATTGGAAAGGGGAGAACCGACTACGGCGCGCATCTGTGGAGGGGCATGTATCCACGTAAAAGAGACGTCGAAGGGACGCACGCAATAATAGGAAGTAATACGCAGTAATAAGCAGTAATATGCAGTAATACGCAGTAGGACGTAACTGTACGCAGTAGCAATCAGCAACACGTATGAACCCGCTTAACGGCGAGTACACTCTCTCCCTCCCCCCCTTGTGTGGAAGCAATGAATGAGATCTACCCGGGGGTGTCGAGAAAACTGTTTTGGAACTCTGACAAATTATTTTATGATAACGTACGGAACCTAGATGAGAGACTAAACGTGAATGACAATTTTAACGAAAACAAATATGAGGAGCTGTATCGTGAGAAGTACGCAAGGAATAACAGGAGGTTTAAGACGGAGCCACCTAAAAATATCTGTGAGCAAGGAGGTTCCCAATTTTACTCGTCTTTTTTTAACAGCATATTTAAAAGTTTATCGAAGAATGTGATTTACAGTGAGGAGGATAAACAGAGGGAGGAAGAAGCGAAGGAAAAAAACAAGAGTTCCTCTCGACATTCAAACCACTCACGGAAAGTTAAACTTCCCCATTTCGCCAAAAGGGACAATCGATGTGTTAGCGGAAGGAGTAGAAACAACTTCGCGTATCGGAAGAGCGATTTGGAGGAATGTCCTTTGGTTCAGAATACTGACAGGGGTAAATCAGGGGAGGCCTCTGGAGGGGGGCGCAGAAGGCACACCTATGGAAGCAAGAGAGGTGCAGCTAGCTCGGAGGAGGACGACGAGGAGTTGCAAATGGAAGGGGAATCCGGAGAGGTGAGGAGCGCCGAAGATAGCAGCGGTGAATATGGAAGCCGTGAATATGGAAGCGGTGAATATGGAAGCGGTGAATATGGAAGCGGTGAATATGACAGCGGTGAATATGGAAGCGGTGAATATGGAAGCGATAAATATCGAAGCGGTAACTATGGAATCGATGAATGTCCAAACGGCCAATATCGAAGTGGTGAATATCGCAGTGGGGGTGCGCCCAGGGAAGATACCAAGAGTATGGAACAGAGCCGAACCGCGAAGAGAAGCGCCAACAGCGCGAGACTTGTAAACAGCGACGTCATTTCGGACGTTTTCCTGAAGAAGAACGTGAAGAGCCTAGTGGTTCATGACACGGGAGGAATAGACATCGAACTTATCGAAAATGAAAATCCGGAGTTCCTGTACCATACCTACACGGGGAACAGAATATCCAATATGTATTATGCGTATGACGATTCTTTAAAGAGCAAAGAATATTGTGACGATAAGAAGATAAATAGGTTTAATTCACCCTGTTCTCGAAGGGAAGACGTAACTGTGAGGGAGTCTACATCGAAAGAAGGCTGTCTCGTGGGGGAATACATCACAGGTGAGGTTAGCCCAAGGGGGTCATCAGTAAAGGGATGTCCTTCGTACAATGGGAGGAGAGAAAAAAAACAAAACACATCACATTATAAATCAGAGTTCTCCACTGACAGTAACAACAGTAAGCGCTGTGATGAGCAGAGCTGTACTAAGAGAAGCGAGATGGAAGAAAAGGTCTCCAATTGGTCCAACGAGGGGTATTATTATGATAGTTGCAACACGTATGAAGGAAATAGAAACAAGGGTACTTCCAACTTGTCAGGAGGAGGGAACAGAATGTTTGATTCGTACTCTTCCGTGTCTACCATATCTGTAAACACATCAGAGAAGGAAAAAGGAAGGAAGTATCACTACATTGGAGAAACCATAAATAACGTTCGAAATGGATGGGGCATGTTAATTTATAATGACCGAGTCATATTTGAAGGGGAATACAAAATGAACAATGCCATTGGATATTTTATTAAGTACAATGAATACTCTACAGAGATTGGATTCAGGAGTCCTCTGAGTATCAAGTCAGTTGTCATCATGAGCGATAGCGATAATTTCATTATACAAAACAGATGTGAGAATCTAGAATCTTTGAAGAGTGACGAAGTGGGAGCTAGCCAAAATGGTACTCCAAAATTGGAAGATAACGACAGCGTGGAGGTGGAAATTAAGTCAAAGGAGGGGGGATTAACTTGTGAGAGAAATGTAGAAGGAGCACTCTGTGAAAATAAAAGCTATATGGAGAAGACACAAATGAACCTATTCTGTTCGCAAAAATTCCCAACGGTAAGTAACTACACACACTTGTCCGATTTTAGGAGGACCCCTGGAGTCTTTACCACACCCAACAGCAATAAATTGTACAAAGAAAATGTACTCATAAATAATCTACTCAACAGTATAAAAGACAGTGAGTGTTCTCCGAAAAAAACGGAACAAGTAGGGAAGGCGAAAAACCCAACTGTCGTGTCTAACTACATTAGAAGAAACAGTAAACATAAGACAACCCCTGCGCGGTCCATCAATTATCTGAAGCCCCCCATGATGCACTTGATAAAAAATAATATTATTCTAAATAGGAACTCGTTTCTGAAGAACGATAAATCGGCATCCTCCAGGAAGAGGAGGGAACAGAAAACTACCACGCATTGCTGCCGCCCAATGAGAATCATCGTGACGTCGTTCGATACGGACGATGAGTCGGGCTCGTCCGGAAATGATCGACATGGAGAAAGTAACCCAAATGAGGAGAGTGGCCCGCATGAAGAGAGTAATCCAAATGAAGAGAGTAACCCAAATGAAGAGAGTAACTCACATGAAGAGAATGAAGAGGGAATCTCCTCAGTGGGAAACGCCTCTACGCGGAGCTGCGCTCAGCCAGTCGCTGCCTTCTCGGATCGGAAGAAATTTGGCAGAGGCGACCTTAAGAGCAATGGACTCACAATTCTGCACCTAGAAAACAACAATCATGTTAAGGGAATCCATTCCCGCAGGGAAGATGATGAGGCGACTCATTTCTGGAACGATGACGAGAAGGGGCAGAGGGGATATGCTATAGATTCGGCACTGGTCAGTGTGGATTATAAGAAGAAGAACGTGGGAGAATTCTTCAAGGGAAAGAAGAGGTGTACGAAGAATTTAGCGGCTTTTAGGAACGAAGTGGGGGGGATGGCGCTCTCCGGAGAGGGGGACGCTGCGATTGAAGGAAGCGTCGGCGTTTACAGGGATGACACGAATAAGGACACGGATGGGGAGACGTACAAGGATGTGGACAGAGCTGACGTGGCAATGAAGGGGGGGGAGGTTGAGCGGTCCACGCACTTCGGGAAGGAATCGTCGGACCAGGGGAAGGGCGAGGCGAAAATGGAGGGGAATGCCCAAGCGGAGATAGATGGCAATGGACAGAACAAGTTGAACATTATTATCACCGATGAGTATAGAAATCTGTTGTGCGATAATATCAACAACGACAATTTTGTGATAAAGAATAACGAAATTAGAACCTTTCAGGAATTCATGGAAAGCCAGGGGGAATACGAAGGGGGGGGGAGCGATCAGTGGAGAGAGGCCATACGGGATGGCAGCGGTGGGGTAGACGATTCATCTGTGAGGGGAGAGTACCCATCTGAAGGGGATGTGTCTAGTCTGAGAACAACCATCGAGGGAGACACACCCAAATGTAATACAGAGCAAAACGAAGGGGATCAGAGAAACGAAGAGCCTCATTTTAGTCACCCCGATAAGACATACATAAGAAGGCGTCTTCGAGGAGCGACCTTCCCCGAAACGCACGATGATAGACAGAAGAACTGTTTCCTCTTCATAGACGATTACTTAACTTCAAACGATGGCAAGTTCGATTTAATAAACGAGGACGTGAAATTGAGAGCATCCGATTATAACAAGTGGTCAGTAAATATGCTATACAATTTTCTAAAAATGATAGGATTAAAAAAGGAAGCCTATCTGTTTAAGATCCACAAGATAAGGGGGTATCACATTCTCAAATTGACAGACAAGGAATTAAAAAGACTGAACATAAATAATCGCTATGTTCGAAAATTCGTCTTGTCTGTTTTTCGATTTTTAGTAAATTCTATGGATAGTGCGGATCCTTTGTCTTTAAATTTTAACACAAATAGGAAATTTTCATTTAATGAAATACAGACCATCTGCAATAGTGACATCATTATACTTAACAAAGTTGGTGGTGGGAGCTACGCGCAGGTGTTCAGGGCAAAATATAGAGGGAAGTACGTGGCGTGCAAACTCTTTTTGTACAATCCGAAGGAAATGAGTGAAGAGAGCTACTGCGAGAGTTACATCTCAACACCAAGATCGAGTCACAAATATATTTTTCCCAAAATAACCCCTAGCTTAAGCATGTTCGGTGAGCAACACTTTTGCGAGAAGGCACTATTACCGTTAACAGAGGGGGAACAGGATACAGAGGAGACAGCAAATCATCCCGGTGGTAACCACATCGGGGGCATGCAGTCTGCGCAACGGGCGCGGTGTGATAGTGGAGGAGGATCAACCGAAGGGGAAGAGTTACACAGGGAAGACCCCCCAAAGGGGCACTCTCCAAAGGATCATTCCCCAAAGGAGCATTCCCCGTATGCCCTCTCTGCGCAGAAGAAAGGCAACGGGGGAGAAGCCCCAAATGGTACTAGCACCTCGTACACACTGCAGAGAAATAAGAAAATAAAAAAAATGGCCAATTTGGAAATTTTCAGATATTTCCCCACCCCAGTGAAGTACCGGAATTACGAAGCGAAGATTTTGTATTCTCTACAGGGGTGCAGTCATGTGATAAAGTTACTAGGAGTGTGTAGCCTAAGAGAGGGCGAAGAATCTCTCATCTTACAGTACTGTGCAGGGGGAAGCCTGGAGAAGTACATTTACATAGACGAAAGGAAGAAGAACGGCGCATATATGCGTTATCTGTCGAGACCAAAAATTGTAAAAATATTCCAGCAAGTGGCAGAAGGAATGCATAATGTACACTCAAATAATTTTTTCCATAGGGACTTAAAACTTTCTAACATTTTGCTAGATGCTAACCAGGATGCTGTCATTTCGGATTTTGGATTGTCGACTCATTTTTCTTTAAATGATAGCCCCACTGCGTATGCCATGTATGGGAACATATTTTATGCAGCCCCGGAGGTTCTAAAAGGGGAGGGTTTTTTTAAAGAATCCGATGTGTGGTCATTTGGAGTTAGCTTATGGGAGGCCTTAACAAGAAAGATTGCATACGATGGGATATCTGCTTCAGAGAGTTTCTGTAAAATCTCTTCTGGGGAATTGGTCCTTCCCATTCCCAGGGACCTTCCCTTTGAGCTGTCCGAGTTGCTGAGGAGCATGCTGGAGTACGATTTCACCAAGCGGCCCCTCTTCGACGTCATAGCGAGGCGGCTCGAGAGCATTCGGCTGGAGGCCGACAAGAAGCTGCACGTGGACATGCTCTCCTTCTTCGACGGGTAGGCGGAGTAGCGGCGGTTAGCGGCACTGTGGCAACGCTCTGTACTGCTTCATACCGCCTTGTACCGCGTCTTCCCACAGACGCACTTACGAATTAAAATACCCAAACGCGCGTACCTCCACAGGTGCGCCTCCTCTTTCTTTTTTTTCTAGTCCCTCCCTTTTGTGTCCCCTATTCGTTGTGCTTCCCGTTTTTATGTCAATTTGTACAGTGCCCCACTCACCGGGCTGCAACTACAAGGGCGTACATTTTCTTCGTTCCTAAAAATTGGAAGGCTATTTTTTTCGCCCAAAAGAATGGGGAAGGAAAAAAAAAAAAAAAAAAAAAGCACCGCTATTATTTGTTTAAACTTCATTTGTTCCCACTAAATTAGCACTTTGGTTTTTTTTTTTTTTTCACTCCACGTGAGCAGCTGTCGGTCTGTGTGCTCCATGAATATGTAAAATGATATCAGAACCTTCTCAGCGGCGAGCGTGCCGATATAAGTCCAACCGGTCTGTCCCATGGTCACTATGCCACATAGCCGCTACGTTACCCTTTCTGTATTAGCCTCAACACGTGGCCGTTTATTGCATTTGCTTTTCCCCTTGGGTGCACAACTTCTTGTGTAAAAAGGGAACCATTTCTCCTCCCGGGGTGCAGCATGAGAAGTTCATCTACCTAATGATGACATGAGAACTTTTTACTCTCATCGCCATTAAAATGTACTTCAATGAGGAAAGCGAAATTGCAGATAAGAATCGATCTATTGAGCGGTGTATGCTTCGCCTGATCTGATATGATCTAATCTGATCTGTTTTTTTTTTTTTTACTATAAGCGCTCGGGTATAGGTTTACCTCCCCGGTGAGGCCTCAGAGGGGGAAAAAACTACCAAGTGGTACAAGCTCGCGGTGCAGTTCCGCTGAGGGGGTGAAGTTGGAAGAGGGGCAAAGCGGATGAGCGACTAACCGGATAAGCGGCTATCTCAGCTGTGCACGTGGAACAAGATGGTTCTGCTTAACGAAGAGGATGCCATTCACTTTTTGAATATCGCATTGGGGGAGGTAAGTCAAAGGAGACAGTATCCTTCGCGTGACGGTGCGGGCTATGGTGTACTCGATGGTACGCGCGTTTGAAATGGTTTCGTGGTGCATCCACAATGCTCGCACGCAGACATGTAGACGTTTCTTTTTCCCCTTCTGTGCCGCTGCCCAAGGCGGAAAAGAGCCTGCACGTGGAGCTGAAGGAAATGCCCATATTCTGCCTCCTGATAAACGAAGAAAAGGAAATTTTATCCAGCTCGTATAACCACACAAACGAATCGAAGAATGGAACCAGGCACTGTGAGCTCATAGCAATCGACAAGTATCTATATGGAGAGGATTACGAGAGGATGAAAAATAGGAACCTAATAAAATGCTTTAACAATTGTGAAAATGGAGTAGAAAAATCTCTCGCCAGATATTTTTCCCAGTTGGATATGTGCAAGGGTGGTAGATTAGCTAAGCCTTGTTCTGGGGTAGAGGACAACTTGGTGCTTAGAGAAGGACCCAGGGGGACTAGTACTGAACAGTTAACTGAAGAGAGAAAGAACGAAATAAAGAACAAGTTGGAAAATCTTCGAAACTGCTGCATCGTTGTGACGTGTGAGCCGTGTATCATGTGTGTTTATGCGTTGAAGCTTATGGGTAATGCCGACGGGAGATGGAGACAGCCAGCGGCGTCACTTGAGGCGCGTCATTTTTCTTTTGCGCACCCATTTAGAGGGGAGTCGTGATGTTCAGACCTGGCGTTGCTTTGTCAAGTCAGTCTCACCACCGTAGCGCTGCCCCCTCTACTTATTATCATTTGCCTTATCTTCACTCTTTTCTTTTCTTCATATACGAACATGCCAGGCATAAAGAACATTTACTTCTGCTGCCTTAACGAGCGCTTCGGAGGATGCGGGTCAGTCCTTTCCTTGCACAAAACGTAATAAAAAAAAGGGGAGGAAAGGAAAACACAGAAAAAAGGCGGAAAATGCGATCAAGTGGAAAAACACCAGAACGATGAAGCCAGCTGCTGATCATGGATTGCTGTGTGCCTAACTGTGAATACCCCGTTCATGCTGCTCCCTTTTGCAGGTACCAGGACATAAATGTGAATTATATCAAGAGCGGAGGCTGCACCGACAGGAGCATTTCCCTGATGCAGTCCTTTTACAAGGCTGGAAACCCCTCAGGTGTTTTTCACAAAACTTTTCCTCTTTGTTTACATTCCCTTTTAACGTATTTATACTTGCAGCATGAGTGATGAATGAAGACGTGAATGTGACCCCATCGCATTGGTGGCTTCTCCCTCCATGTCGAGTGGTAATTTGGAAAGTGTGCCACATACTGTGCATGTTTCTTTTTCTTTTTTTTTTTTTTCTGCTAACTTCTCGCAGCGCCGGAAGAGAAAAGAAAAAGAGCAATCACATGATGTATCTTACGCTGGTTAGAAGTTGGCGAGCCGCTGCTCCGTTGTTGCATCCCACCTACAGGCATGCATTTTTTCTTTTTTTTTTTTTCTTTTTTCCATTGCGCCTCGTTTTGCCACATCGTATGTGTGTACATATGTATTTGTAACTACCTACGGCATTACCTTTCTGTATATTTTCGTTTCCATACTGTTTTCCTTTTGGTGCGCTTTTCCCGCTTCTAACTTTGCGTGAAAAGAAATTAACAAGTGGAGGACAGTCCCGATGCACAAGTGCAGGGTGCAATGGTGAAGTTTTTTTTTTAGTGAAAAGCGAACGAGGGGGGTTACTTCTTAGCGAGGGGTATAAATTCGGACCGCGCCTTTGAGGTGTAGTAATCCTTCTTACCAGAGAGGACTACTGCCCCTACCGCTGAAGAGAACTCCCCTTCTACACCATTTGACAAAAAAAAAAGAGGCACTTTGGGTGATGGGCATTAATCTGCAGAGGCGTCTGCACCAGGGGGGGGTTTTGGCACATTCTACAAGTTCTCCTGGATGTGTTGGTTTATTCCAGTTATTATGGCGCTGAAGAGGTGGAAGGGGGGGAGGAGGAGTATGAATGGAGGGAAATACAAATGGGTGGCAACGTATAAGGAAGGGGAGAGGGGGGGGGGAGTGAAAATATTTCGCTCGTTCTCTGCTTAGCTGAAGGCAGTTCCCCGAGTAGCCATCCTCGTGGCCACCCCCGTGAGGACTTCCGTGTCTGGAAGAACGCCACTTACATCCCCTTATTGTAGGCCGAAGACATGATATTCTTGGACCTGCGCTCCTTCTGCTCCGAGAGAATTTTCGCAAACAAGTGGCGGTCCCCATAAAGCGAATCGAAAAAGGTGTCGATATATTCAGTGACGTCATATTTTTTGGTGAGAAACAAATGGCTTAGCTGTATGCCCCTCTGCTGCATGTACTTCCGGATGCACTGGTTGTCCCGCTTCATCAAATGTATGTCGTTGTCGTTAAAAATGTAGTTTGAAAATCCCTTCTCTACGACGACAAGTATCCACATTTTGATGAACAGCTCGATGAAGACAGTGAGAATGTTCTTGCGAAAAGATTCAGGTATTTGAAGGATAAATTTTTCCACTGTGTTTGGGAACATCCTAACGATGGCCTGTATGTTGTTTCTGTCAAATGGCTCCTCATACATATTGAAAAAAAGTTCTTGCTGAAATTCATAACATACAATTCGGATGGATAAAACTTTGAAGATGAAGTAAAGTGTATTTTTTAATGTATCTCTTATGTTACTTATCGACGTGTTTAGGATATCTAAGATCGTTTTTGTGTACATGTTTTTTTGTAGCATGGGAAGAGTTATGTTGAAGGTTACGTGTTTGCCGAATATGCGGCTCAGTTTGTCGACGTTTTGTGTCCTGGCGGATATATAGTCTAGAATATATTTTTCAAATTTGTTTCGAATGAGGGCCACTTGCTCTTGGAAAAAGAATAGATTCCATGTGATGACCATCGAGGTGGACATGTCAGAGTTGTCAAAGAGGTGGTTAATTTCGTCTAGAATGTTTACTAGATCATCGCTCATATAGGCGCCTGGTTTTTTCTCCTCCGAGGGGGGTACACCATTCGTTTCCTCATTGGGAGGATTCAAGTGGGTCGTCCCGGTTGGCCCTTCTTCCCGCTCGCTAACCTCCCTCGTCGCCTTGGATGGACTGTTGCTCTGAAAAGGGGAGACCTTCACGGATAGATCATTAATATCTTCCAGCAATTCTCCTACTTTGTTTTTTATCGCATTAACGTCTAATTCATCATAGTCAAAGAGTTTATAAAGGACGTTTTTTTTCCTTTTCCTATGTTTAATCCGTTCTGTTACCTCATTCATATCGTTGAATTCGTTTTGGATGTTTTCATTATAGAGGACGAGATCGTCTTGTTCTTCTTCCTCTGCATGGTCAAGCATGTCTAACTCGTTGTGCTTAAAAATACTTCCCCCTACTTCGTCGTCTTCCTTATTTCCTTCTTTTCTGTTTCTCCTTATATTACTCCTAGAGAATTTGTCCCACTGGATCTTCTGCTGCTCCGTCAGGTTCAGCAGATCTTGGAAATACTTATCTGCATATTGATTCATCACCGATATGATAAAGGAGGTATATTTCTTCTTGTAATTTTCACAGTAGTCATTTATAAAGGTATGTAAAAACTGGACAAATGGAGTGATAATCCATTCCACTGGGCATTTGTACTCAAAGAGGACATCCAAAATGCTCCATATGATGGAGAAGATGTCCACAGAGGTAGAGTTATACATAACTTCTGGGCTATTCAGTGGAATTAATTTTTCCTTTTCTAAACATACGGATAGCAGATTTTTGTTATGCTCTAACTTGTGGTCCATAATTTGAATGAATATTTTCTCCAGCTTGAACATGAGCTTCACCATGCATGGGTCGTTTGCGTTGGAGATGATAAGGGAGAGGTTTATGAACCGATCGTGTGTGTCATCCGTATGGTTTTGCCGGGTTTGCTGTTCCTGATTTTGCTTTTTCTGCCCCGTCCTCTTCTGCTCCTCCTCGCCGCTTCCCTTTAGCGAGTTCCTCGTCTCGTAGTACTTGGCAATTTTGCTCTGCATCTTCCTGCGCGGGGAGCTGGTGCGGTGCGCGTCTTCTGCGACGGGGGAGAAGCCCCCATCTGGGCTGTTCTCCATGGAGAGACTCCCCCCAATGGCGACGCGATCATCGAGCGGCTTCTCATTCACCAGGCACTGGTACCTCTCGTACGTGTCGCTCTGTAGAACAATTTCCTTAATTAGCAAATTAAAATTGTACAAGGAGACGACGATGGATAGAGCCTGACTAAATAAAACCTCGTTGTTGTCCTTATTTATTCCTATGAACTTGGAAACCTCGTAGTAAAGTGTCCTGTTGGCTGCAAACAGGACCATGAGCGGGTGCTCCTTCGGCGAGAGGTACTCTTTCCATATGTTGGAAAAGAATAAAATTTCCGCGACGACTTCGTTGATGTATTTGTTTATGATGTCTACGTACTGGTTCGTCAGGGGGTTTTGGATGACGGGGGGGGCAGTGGTACAATTCAGGAGAGAAGCATCACTGCCGGGATCATCATCGCTTCCGCTGCTGCTTCTACCACCTCTACCGCTTTCACTCGCGTCTTCTTCTGAGGAATCCCTCTGCGTGCGAAGAAACAGACCATCTGCTGCCTCCCCAGTTGACTCAAGCACCGCTTCTCCACTTTCCGAGGGATCGTCTTGCCCTTTTTTTAGCATCTCACTCGCTTCTATATCCTCCCTGACGATACACACAATATTGAAGAAAATATTCTTCACTGTGTTGAAGATAAAAAATTTGAAGAAGCTGGATAGTTCGTGCGCGGAGCTTATTTCGCCATGTGTGAGAGAACTTCTTTCTCGTCTCTTCCCCTTTATGACCTCCTCGGAGGTAAAACTGTGAGAGGTACCATCACTTCTGTTCCTAGAATGCCATTCTTTATCGTCCAAATCGTGAACAACAACGTTGCAACAACGCTCAAAGAGAGTTCTATTGCGCTCTTGTCTTCCTCTCAGGCGCCTATGGTGCATAGGGCTAGTACCTAACCCGTGAAGATAATATTTTATCCGATTTGATTTTTCCTCCGAACTGTTATCATTGATAGTGAAGAATCTGTGCAGCATCACAAATACGTCTAAAACATATGGAAGAGAATACATGTCGATAAATCTCCGGTAATTGCAAAGGAGGAGGATGAAGTGGTCCCTAAAGTCGCAACTAATCATTCTCATCAGAAGGATGTCTGTCATCACTTTTTCAATTCTAGAGAGGTTCACGAGGGAAAAATTAGCGTATCCCTTTTGGTTGGTTCTATACCTGATAAGGAGGGTAGTACTACTGGTAGGAGCGTCCCACTTCTGGCTCTTTTCAACCTCTTCGTTTGTTCTCATCAGGCCGTTTTGTTTGTCATACGGGGGGCTTGTGGTGTTGGAACCCCTCGGGTTCCGGGCACTTCTGTGACCACCTGGACATTCTATCTGAATCGAGTCTTCTCTTTTGCTTTCCTCCCCCTCTAGGGGTGAGCCAAAACGGACCTGCCTACTTTTTTCCTCCCGCCCCCCCAAGTGCACCTCCATGCTATCATCATTCTTCATGTACCAATCAAAAAAAAAATGATCCTTGGAGTATAATTCGTCCTTCCCATATAGAGAGAGGACGTTGGGAACGTACGGACTGATCAGATTTTCCAGATGGTTATAGTTGAAATGGAGCAGAATATTGCTGTAGCGCTTCAGGTAAATCAATTCATTTTGGTGCTTCTTTTCCAGCTTTTTTTTCTGCAACAGGTTGTCTTCTGAATTGGGATTTTCTAATTTGTCATGGTCCTTCGGAACAGTTGCACAGAAGAGATACTTTTTTTTGGAAGATTTGGTCATTTGATTTGGCTCTTCTTTGGCGTCCTGGCCGGACGAATCGTCGGCGTACAGCTCCGCCATGGCTGCGAGTAGATCTGCATCTGAGTTTTCCCCATCTGATTTCTCTGCACCTGTGTGTATACCTGATTTTCCTGCACCTAGTGTCCCCTTTTGTCCATTCCCCATGTCCATTTCGTTAACCGTTCTGTAGGACAAGACGGATTCGAAATTCTTCACAACAAAGTAAAACTGGCTAGCATTCTGCACGGTAATAATTTGGCTCTTCCTTGGTGCAGGGGTAATTCCAGGGAAGTAGTTTTCCATCTGATTCGACTTGGATTCTTTCTCATCGTTATGGGTTTCCAGCTTGGTCCTCAAAAAAAGTTTCACTCTTCCATCGTCTTCATTTGGACATACCGTCAAGAAATTTTTGTCGAAAAAGGAATAAAACAGATGAATGCCCAGGTAGAGGATAAAGGTCGATATCGGAATGGGCGTGGGTTCTACTCCGTCGTTGAACCCTTGTGTCTTCCCCTTCAGTGCTAAATCGTTGCCGGCCTGGAGATAATAAACGACCAGCATGATTCCCTGCATGAGGTAAGGCATGTCTGCATACATGTTGGTCTGTTCTCCGGTGCCAATCACGCAGGAAATGTAGTAATACAGGAAGAAGTGCAGCAGGGATCTGTCAATGAACCAGCTGGAACAGAGAATCGTTTCGATGTTTAGTTTGTAAAATATTTTGCTTCTTATTGTTTTTTCTCTCCGGGTTAGTCCTGTTTCGTTCGGTGGCGTCTTCCCCTGAACAGCGCGACTGCTATGGATGCCACGAGTCGACCCCGTTTTCACCAACTTGGAAAACTCCTTCATGAAAATGTCCTTATATAACTCGTCGTGGTCTATATTTTGTCCATCCCACGTGGGAGAGCACTCCCCCTTGTGCTCTCCTTCGGATTCACTCCTGGGGTGCTTACTCTGTAATTGATCCTGGTACGGATGATCGTGGCCCCCCTCCCAATTGTATAGGACAATCTTCCTCACCTCGTAATCGTAATACTCTATCTTTGTGAAGTACTTAACTAAGTTGGCGAGTTTCTTTTTCTCATCGCAGACCCCTGCGTTCCATTTGTCCTCCCTGACAAGTGACTTGAGGAGATAAATTAACCGAAAGGATTTTATCAAATTTTTTAGAAGCAGATTGCAGAGAAAGATGATTTGCTCGTCCCTTCGTAGCGACTTGAAAGTGGTGAAGTTGGTGAAGTTGGGCTTATCATTTCTTTCGTCATGAGATTTGTGCCCATCCGTTTTGTTCTGATCTGTTTTGTTCTCATCTGTTTTGTTCTCATCTGTTTTGTTCTCATCTGTTTTGTTCTCATCTGTTTTTCCCTGCTGTGGTTTCTTTTGCTTCCGTTGCGCTGGGGTCACCCCTTTGGTTGTCCCCCCATGGTGTAAAACAAACCAGTGCAGCTTCTCTATCCTCCTTTGCACATTCCGCAGGTAGGAGACGAAGGGCTTGTCCCCTGACCCCCTACTCAGGTAGCTAAAATATTCCCCCTCATTTTCAAATTGATCTATCACGTCTTTGAAGTGCCCATCGGAGTGGGATTCAAAAAAGGGGACGAACTTAACGAATTTGGAAAACTTCAAATATACGGAGATGTGGAGAAGTTGCAGCTGTCTTCTGAGCCATGATGTGTAGATGGTACTTTCCTCGCTGTAGTGTGGCTCCCTTGTCGAGTCCGTTTTTTTTCTCTGTTTTCCTGTGTTCGCGTGAAATACATGGTTGAAGTTGAGACTATCCATTATTCGAATTATTCTGAAGCGGACATCTAATACGTGGAAGGTGTAGGTATGGCCCCAATTTGTGTCGTGTGAAGGGATAGTAAGCAAGGTGACCAAATCGTTAGCTCTAGAATTTAGGTTCAGCTTTATTCTAAAAATGCTTATGATTCTTTTTACTAACAATAGATTCTGGAGCTTCACATGGTAAATGTCATCTACGTATTTGAGATGGTCGTTCAGTGTGTATCGTCTGTCACTACCAGGAGGTGGTGTAGATTTGTACCGTTCTTTTTCTTCCTCCTCCTTCGCCTCTTCCGCATTGGTACGGGTTTGTTTTTTCCCTCCTTGGATCGTCTCCAACATGGGGTAACACCTTTGGCAGAATTGATTATAGACTTCCTTGTTCAACTTGTCCCTTTTAGACATGTCGAAGAGGAAGTAGCCATTCAGTTGGGTCGACAGGGAGTAATACACTAGGAGGAGCGATTCGTATGCTAGCAACTTGTATTCATATTCGGTCATTCCTTCTCCTTCTTCTTCCTCGTGCTCCTCCTCAAACAGGGGAACCCTTGCTGAAGAGGCAGATAAGCCCCATTTTTCGAAAGTAGAAAAATGGTTAATATTGGGTGGTATTCTAAATGGGTAAAAGGGATGTCCCTCTTCGAAGAAATAACCTTGAAAGAAATTCTGGTCATACCACCTTCGTTTATCCTTAGTCCTCCCACTCAGCATGGTAGATAAAATGTCTACTCTGTTGAATTGTAACATATATTTTTCGCACTCCTTTTGTCTGTTTATTAGGAAGGAGAAGATGTCTTTTTCCTCCCTTGGGGGGGGCTTACCGCTTAGACATGCTGCCTCGTTTTTTTCACCTACGAATGGGTTCACTAGTGCTTGTCGCGTCTTTCTATTCCCCCTCGCTGGCTTTCCATTTGCTTGGTTGCCTTTTTCTTCCTTCCCCCTCGCTTCCTCCCCACTCGGCCTGCTATCCTCCTCTGATCTGTAGGTACTCCTTCTTTCTATTATCATTGGAATGTAGAACTGTTCGGGGAATTGACCATCCCTTGGAGAAGCAGCTCGGTCGCCTCCGCGTGGCTGACGCAGGGCCTGCTCCTTTTTCGCTTCACCTCCCTGTTTCAAGTCTAAGTCTTTCTGCTTCTTCCTTTCGGCTTTAGCCCCAGGTGAGCTGCTTTCACTGCAAATCAATTCCCCGCTCTGAAAATTCTGCTCCTTCGTTTTTCTCTTCTTCTCAGATGTGTGGTGCACAGCACCAGCAGTAGGGGAATCACCCCGATGTGGCATTAGCCTAAATTGTTCCTCCTCAGTTAGTACATCATTTTTGGGGATCTTCTGTTGCAGGTCTGCTATGTTCACGTCCTTTCTTAGGACAAGGCTTAGCCACATTTGATAGTCTATGAGGGAGTCATACGAACTGATTTCGCATGCCCCTTTGTGGAGTACGGTGTTCATGTGGATATGCTCCACTGCGAGGATTTTTATGAAACCCCTTACGCTGGTGTATATTTTTTCGATTCTGTGTTTTTCTCTTATTTCGAATTTTTCAAGGTTGAGTCTATGCAGTGTTTTTTTATTTCCTTTTTGATCCGCGAGGTTGTGCGGGGAAGCTTCCTCTTTTGTGGCATCCCCATTTTGGTTCCCCCTTCCCCTTCCTCCTCCCTCTTTGTCCTGCCACTTCCTCCTCCTGCAGTGGTTATCCTGCACATACTGCTCCAAGTCCTTAATGCTGCACCGCATTGTGCGCTTATTATGTCGGAGCTCCTTTATATTATCATACAGAATTTCCAAAATGTTTTTCTTCCTAATTTGAATGGCATTTATTCTTTCCTTAGATTTATTGATTAGCAGTTTGTTGGCATTTTTCCCAAATTTGTCGAGGATTACCTTAAGGGCATCAATTTCTTTGTCTAGCTTGATATTAAGTTTGTCTAGCTCTGAAAAGTGCTTTTTATACTTTGCGCTGTTAAGGTATTCTTTTGCGAAGTGCTCATTTTCTAGGCACCTCTTTAAATCTATTTCTATTTCTCTGAGTGGAATTCCGTCTACAAGGACTTCGTCGTTATGGTTGTAGTCCTCCTTATGTGATCTTTCTGCTTTGTCCACATGGATGATGATCCCCTTGTCATGGCTGTCTAGGTCATGTGGGCTGGCACTCCCCGTTTGGTATTCCCATCTCTCTCCAGTAGAGAGTCCGTCCTCCTGAGCTTCTCTACCTCCATTTCCATTCAGTGCAGTAGTTGATCCGGTGTCCGCCTCTTCATAAATAGAACTGATTTCTTGGGCCCTCTCGGCTTCTTCCTTTTCCAATTCGAGGAGTATGTTATTCCTTATCTTCTTGCTGATGGAAAGATTCTGTTCGTACAGATTCTGCACAAGGGTAACGACGTTGACAAAGCAGTCGGCGAAGTAGACCCGATCGGAATGGCCCTCATCCGTGTGTCTCTTCTTTATATTTGCAATGATGGCATTTCCATCAGAGTGAATTCGTTTCAGAGAGTCACTAAACGTTTTAAATGCTTCCCCCAGATTTTCGAACACGCTTCTGATCTCTGCACTTGTCCTTATTCCCTCGTAGTCCTTCCTCTTCAGTGCTCGCTCGATGTGCTCAATGTTCGATATGCATGAGCTGTTCAGGTGCAGCATGGTTCCCTCGGGTGCGGAAGCGTGGGTAATGCGTCAGCATGGGCGGTGCGTCAAAGTCGGTGGTGCATTCAACCCCTGTGTTGTAACCCCCCCTGTGGCGCATCCACACAGAGGTCGTCTTCTTGTGGGGTCCCTAAACTGGGTGAGCCGATTTCTGGTCACGTCCCTGCGTCTGTACACCCCGGCTGCTAATCACCTGCGTTGGAAGACTGGGCAGTGAAAACGGACTGGTGTAGAGTACCACAAAGTGGAAGTCATATAATTCAAACGGGAAAGAAAACGAAGGTACACTTCTCCAGTATGGTCAGCAAATGAATGTATATATACTAGCCTTACGGAAAAGAGAGAGAAAAAAAAAGTGAAGTAAAAAAAAAAATGCTCTTCACTTGGAATGTTTTGTAATCATCAGTGAGAATAAACAAACAAAACTCTGCTGCCGTGGGGGAAGCTTGTGCTTCCTCAAAGTGGAGAGCATTTAATCATTGCGCTTTTGCCTGGATCATAACGAAAGTGCGCCTTTCGTGAAGGATGTTTCTCGGCATGGGAAATGTAACTCAACTTACGTTTGCGCCCTTTTTGAAAAAAACGGGAAAAAAAAATACCAAACGGGTTGGTAGGAAAAATTAAAAAAAAAAAAAAAAAAGAAAAAAAAAAAAACGAACAGATGAACAGATGAACAGACGAACAAATAAACAAATAAACAAACAGACAAACAAAGAAACAGACGAAGAGACGAACGAATAAATAAATGCATGAATGAACAAATAAAGGGGTGAAACGATTTTGTTCGCTGCAGTAGCCTTCCCAAGTATCAACCCTTTTCCACCTTCACAGATCTGCATGGGAGGAGGGGCTTCCCCCTAAGGGCGCGAATCCATTTGCCCAACTGGGAAGGAGCAGGCAACGACTGTTCCGAATAAAGCTGACCGTTGAAGGTGAATCGTTCATAAAAGATAAGGCGTGGCAACCCAGGTGTGGAGAAGACACACACAAACACAGACGGGGTTGAACGTTTGGTGAGACCTGACCGAGTGGACCATTTGGCTGGTAGGCACAAGGTACACTTTTTGTCACTTTCGGCTGTTGGTTTCGTAAAAAAATGAATTCCTCCTTAAAGAACATCGAAAATGAAAGCAACTTTTTCATCAAATCATTCTTCGAGTCGCTGTCAAATTTTATTAAAAATGTGAAGATCGAAATAAAGGATGTTTTCGAATTGCTTAACTATCCCTGTGTGTATCAAAACTGCAAAAAAAAATTCAGCATCAGCGAAAATGAGGATTACAAAAATACGCTGGAAACAAATGTCATAAGCAAAATAGATAAAAAGAACATAGAAAATTTTCAGCAGTACCAGAAAGAGTTGCAAAACATGCTGCAGAATATTAAGGTGTTTAATGAGAAATACAGAATGGACGTCCCTCTCCTTTTTATCATCGAGAATTTAATAACCCTACACTTGATTAATGAGTACAAAATAAATAACATTGTGAAGAAGATTCAGGAGCACAACATTGCTATGCCTGAGTTGAAGAGCGACTTACCAAGTTACTTTGTCCAAACGTTAGAAGTGGAGGAAAGCGAAAATGATGGAGAATTGGGACGGAAGTTAAGCGAAACGAGTAACTTATCCATTAATAACAGTGTCGTTAAGGATCTACTAGAAACATCTCATGTCAGAATTAATTTGTCTAAATTGAGAGAACACAATGAAGAGAATTATTTCCACGCGGGGAGGCCACTGTACAGCTCCAGCTATAACTCCAAGTCAAATGACCTTTTGGCATTCAAAAAGGAGGAAGAGGAGGAGGGACGAGGAGAGGATGCAACTGGGAGGGGAAGTCTACACACTGTTGGGGAAGAAAACAGCCTCGCGCAACATAGGGATGAAGAGGATCCCAGCAATATGTCTGTGCGGAAAAAGGAGGAGAAGAAAAGCATCATTGAAGACATCGGGTTGTCCGAGGAGACGCTCAAGCTGCTTAATTTGCTGCCCCAAAAAAGGAAGGCGGAGTGAAGGGTGCGCCATTAGCGATGAGCCATTAGCCGTGGAATGTGCTCGGTGGAAGGTGACACGTAGGGAGAAGAAGCTAATAATGGATGCGATAGGCATAAAAGGACGTTTGCAACTTTTCCGAACATGCGCAAAGGCAAAAAAAAACGCACAATGCTTGACAACCCGCGTGCACACAGGTGAACTGAGGAACTCCGCCACATTGTACTGTGTTTCATACATAGGAAAAAAAAAAACGCAAAGGGTGGCGTTAACAGCCGATTTGTTCACTCACCAAAGGTTTACTAATCTGCGGATTTATTGACAAGTCAAGCCATATATAAAATGGCTATTTTTTTTTTTTTTTTTTTTTTCCTTTTTTTTTCCTTTTTTTTTCCTTTTTTTTTCCATTTTTACTTGTCCTATTCATACATTTGTATCCGCAATGCTTGACGCATGGCGATGAGTAAGCCCAATTTTCCTTTTTAAAGAGCGAAAAATGAACATTTAACATTTTTGCAATTTGCTGACTGTGAGTTCTGCCAAGGGGGCTAGGTGAGTAGCGTAAGGGAACGCATCCCATAACACGGCATCGCAGAGGAAGGCATCCCCACCGAAGCCACCCGACCGAAGGCCCCCAAGCAAACCCACCCAACCGAAGCTATCCCACCGGAAGACACAATGCATTTCGACTTCACCCTGCAGACTTGCTGCGAGCGAAACCAGAACATCACCTTCGTGAGCATCTCCGCCTGTGTGCTGATAAACGCCATGTTCTGGAGGTGCAAAATTTTGGAGCCCTTCAAACTTCTGACCGTTTTTTTGCACGAGTTTTCGCATGCGTCGGCCTGTTGGTTGACGGGGGGCCGGGTGAAGAGCATAGGTTGGTTCGAAAGGAAGGAGTTAAAAAAAAAAATTAACCTGTGCATTCGGCTTCGTTGCGCGGCTAAGCTGCGCTAAGCCGGGAAGACACCACCCCGTTGCATGTATATCTTCGTATCTGTGTTTGTATGCGTATGCGCATGTGCAGTGAACACTTTCTTAAAGCATACCATTCTGTGGTTACACTTTTTTTCCACCACTTACGTAACATTTTTGTACCACTTCATGCGAACTTCATTTTTTTTTTTCTCTCTTCCCCCTTCGGCGGCAAATGCAGAGGTGAACAGAAATCATGGAGGATGCACAAACACAATTGGAGGAAACAGATTCCTAATTCTGCCCGCTGGCTACATTGGCTCCTGTTTCTACGGGATGTTTTTTATTTTGATGGCATACATAAGCAGATGGACACTCATCACATCCGCTGCCTTCTTATGCTTCTTACTCTTAATAGTGTTAATTTTTTATGCTAATAATTTTTTCCTAAGGATTCTTTGCGTCCTCTTCTTAACGCTTACCATTTCTGTTTGGGTGTTGTGTGTGCATTTTAAGGAAGATGTGCAATACTGGCCCCTAAAAATAATCATGACTTTCATAGGCGTCCTCAATCAAATATATAGCATGGTAGACATAGTTGAAGATCTAATTACGAGATCTGTGCCTGAGTCCGATGCGTATAAATATGCAGAACTGACCAAATGTAACTCCAGATTTTGTGGGGCCCTATGGTTTGTGGTCAATTTGACTTTTATATGTTTGACCGTTTATTTGATCGGCGCAATTCATGTGAAGAACTTTGACGATTGACTGGGCCCGGCTCCTTCCTTCACTGCGCTTTGTAGGAGCTTCTTTCTGGGGGGGGCCCACCCTAATGTGCTCTCCACTGTCAATATTGACATTGCATTGGGTGAACTGTAAGATATTTGTTCGGCAGGAGTACCGCTTAACTTCTTCCAAACGGAAGTTCGCTTTAAATGGTGTGCGATGATTACGCCATCTGGACCTTTTTTTTTTTTTCATTTTTCACCTTTGGGGGGAATGTCCCAATGGAACTTTTACACGAGGGAGTATCGGTGCCTCAATGGCGTTTTTTTTTTTTTTCCCTCCTTTAATTTTAAAAAAATCTGTTTGCCTTGAAAATTTCAGGAGCCTGCATCTGAGTGGCAGAACGGGCGTTTAAGGTGCATACGCGAGGCATACATGAGGCATTCATATGTTTAATTAACCCAGTGGAGGCTCCCTCTTCGTTTTTTCTCCTACATGGAGCCAACTTCTCGGGTAAAAATGTCCAAATCGGGGAATTTTCCCGTTGCATCAGCAGCTTTCTGGTGATTCTATACAAAAGGCTCCTCCCACCGCTACGGTTTACATGCAAATAGGGACCACGGTGCAATGGCGAACTACTCCCAACTGTTAAGATGCATACGCCTGCATGCAAAGTGGGTGACAAAAGGAAAAATTAAAGGCATTATGTACGTGGTACAATGGGAAACCATTATGATGACCTAGATCTCTTGTGACGACTTGCATAACCTTAAAATGATGGCCCACTTTTGCAGGACCATCGTCTGTTACCTCGATTTGTAGGGTGATACATACGTAAAAAAAATATATATGAAAAACCCCCCAAAATGGGATTGCATGAAGAACCTCTCCTTTCTTGCTGACCCGCGATGGATGAGCACATCCTCAAAGTATTCCAAAATGGATTTAAAAAAATCCGCCGCCCCCCATTTTGTCACCTTTAAATAACATATTTTAGGTGACGAAATAATTCGTGAGAGGATTTTTTTTTACCTCCCCGTTGTTCTTCCAGCTAGCTATTTTAAAAAACGTGCGCGGCAATAGGAACACATGTTAGCAAAAATTGGAACAGTTTTAGCGTCACCCCCAATTGGTTCGCAAATGCCACGTTATGGAGGAGTAGTGGACAGCCTAGCTTTCTGTTGTATTTTTTTCCTATACGTTTTGTGAACCGCTCCGTTATTTTTCTTTCCTTTTGGCCGAATAAGAAAAAAACTATTTCGCTGACCTGAACAGGATGAAGTATGGGCAAGTCGTAGTGGGGCCTGCTGGGAGCGGGAAAACAAATTATTGCAAGCTGATGAAAGAATTTATGAAAATAAAAAAACGAAATTGCTATGTAGTCAATTTGGACAGCGCGAGTGAAGAGTACTACTATGAGAGAAAGAAGAAAGCGATAAACACCACGTCCAACATAGAAAAGGAATTGAAGCAATATTATGATACCATTTACGACATCGACATAAGGAACTACGTGGATGTAAACAGCCTAATGGAAGATCAGATGCTTGGTCCAAATTGTGCTTTACTAAGGAGTGTCGAATTGTTGTACGAAAATTCATATTTGCTCGAAGACGAATTAAATAACTACGACGATGATGAAAATTATTTCATCATTGATACTCCTGGACAGATAGAGCTGTACACACACACAGATTATTTTAAGAAAATTTTAAGCATATTTACGGATCAAAATATAAGATTGATAGTTGTCTTTTTAGTAGATATTTCTTTTATTAGTTCAAATACGAAGCTGCTGTCAGCGTACCTGACCAGCTTATCCACCATGATAAACTTTGAATTACCTCATATTAATATATTAACCAAATGTGACCTTCTGGTGAGTAAAAACTACTACCAAGAGTTGAGAAAATTTAAGCATAACAATAACTTCTTTTTCCAGAGGAAGTTGTATAAAAAGATTAACAAGAAGATTAAAGGCGGCCGAGGTAGCCGCTTTTTTCTCCAGGACAAAGCGGAACAGTGTGACGAGGAAGGAAAACGGCCAAGTGATGATTTGGGGGACACCTTTCTCAAAGAAATGGAATGCATAAAGGGTGATAAGTCCTTTAAAGACGAATATATTTTGTGTTCCGATTATGACAAGAGAAGCGTTTCAAGTTTCTCTTCTTCGAACATGTCCGAGGGAAGGAGTGAAAAATTCGGAAAAAATTCATCAGACGAGCAGAGCAGTAGCAGCGTGCAGTCCGAAGAAATTGAAGAAAAAATTTACCAAAAAAATTATGAAAAATTAAATGATATACTCTCTTTGGACCCCCATGATATTGTCATGACGGCCAACAAATGCATGTCCAGGAAGTACTACAAACTGAACAATGCCTTTGCGCATATTATCGAGGATTTCAATTTGGTTTCGTTTATCCCCTTAAATATTTACGACGACGATAACGTAGATTTTGTTATCAACTCGATAGATATGATCATACAGTACGGGGAGGACAAGGACGTGAACGACAATTACGACATGTGATGCGGATCGAAGGAGGGGGGGAGTTCCGCGCGCTGCGTGTGCAGAGCGCATAGTTTGTAAACGCGCGTCAGAGGTAATTGACGCATTTTCCGTTACTCCGTCGTGTGAACAATTTGGCGCACTTCACGTATCATTAAAAGGGGGGGAATATCGAAAATGACTTTTTTCTTTCTTGGCAATTTCTTCCCCGCATAGCTCACTTCTTTGCTTTTAAGTGCCCCTTCTTTAATGCTTGTGCGTATGTTTCTTCTTTCTTCCCATGGGACATATCCCCCATGATGTAGTTCCAGGGCAAACCTGCACAGACATTTATTCTTTTTTTAATCGAGTTTGTTTGTGAACATGCTGTACATTTCCTGTGGGACCCTACGAACACGAAAGGGGTATCAATCAGGACGAGGTACTGCTAATGTGGGAAGATACCATCTTCTGAGAATCGCGTAATTTGAAACGATAATTTTTTCTTCATCTGGTGGTCCATAGGGTAGCGGCAAAGGTGGGGGAAAAAAATATGAACAAGCAAGGCGTTTTGGAAAAAAAAAAAAAAAAAAAA